TTTACAGGACAGATTTCTTTATGATGCTTACTTCTCTCTCCATTTGCTTTTTCATTTCCTTATGATACTTTTTTTCTCCTTCCTTGTCTCCCAGCACATCTGCAGAGTGACTTTCTATACCTCAGACCAACCTTATCTCACCATTTCATCACTGCAATGCAGCAAACCCGTTAAGGAATACATTTTCCTCAGGCATTTAAAAGCTACCAGGCACTTAACTTACTCTAAGTATACAAAGCTTTTAGGTCTTATGGGCCTCCATTTTCTTCTTCAACATCTGCCAGAGTAGCAGCCAGGCTACTTGCTGGTGTCTTCTGACCTGGCCATGGTGGTGGCCAGCAGTGGGCAGCACAGAAGCCACACTGGCAGCACCCAGCTTGCCTCTGCTCGGGATAGACTGGAGTTACAAGGCTTTTCTGCAACAAGGAGAAAAATGCCAGCCTGAAAGATGGCCAGACCTTTCTGTTTTCTCCCAGATGATGGGCACTGTTGCCTACAACTATCTTAAATACAACAAAATATTCAACAGACAGTTGTTTCTTCTCTCTAACGGAAAGCCTTATTTTATCACACTTTAAGCATAAAGGTAAAATGAAGACTTCCAGGAAAATGGCTAATTCATTTAATCCCTCGTTTGAAAAGAAGCTTCGATTTCAAAAATAGCCCAAGTGCTTTTATTTGGTGCCTTTTCAAGGCTGGTTTCTGTTGAGGGGAAAGGAAGCTTTTGGGCTGGACAAAATAACTTCCACAAGTCCCTTCCAACCTCAGCCTTTCTGTGATTCTGGGATTTTTGACACAGTGCTCTCTGGTTACAAAGATTGAGAGTACACCAAAATAAATTCTAACAATATCCACTGTTATAATAGGGAAATATCCAAATCTGTTGCCTCTTGAGCATGAATAAATTCTACAATCTCTACAAGCTTAATCTCTTTGCTCTACATCTTTCTGTGTGTATCTTTTTCTGTCTCCATGAAAATTGTCAAGAGTTCATTGAGATTTACAATCAACCAAGCATGAGAGCTAAGGTTATAGGCCTAGTAGGAAAACAACAACAAAACCAGTAAATATTTTGATTTACTGCAAGGGTCAGTTTCTCCCAACACCTTTCTATAAATTGATTTTAAGAACAAAACTCATCTTTAATAGAAAGTTTTCTTCCAGTTACCTGCTGTAGGAAGATTGCTCCCCAGAGAACGATGAAAATGGAGAAACAGCACATCTCACGCCCTACACACTTCATAACAGTCAACTTCTGTGCTCTCCCTGAACAGGCCAAATCAAAAAGAGATGCTTTACAAAGCTACAATGAATCACTGCTTTCAAATCATGTGTTGTAGGATCCATCCATAGCTGTACAGACACTATGTTGCAGGTCCCTTGCTATGTTGCAAATGTAGTCATTCCAACATTACTCTCACAAAGTTATATGAAAAGCTTTGTTACTAAAGATTTTATATAGGTAACTGTAAATTGCATTCTAAAATAAATTACTATTTAGTTTTGCCAACTTGTTTGACTTAAACATAGATTGGCTACAAAAAAAAAAATATATATATATATATATATATTCTTGCTCAGATTATAATTACTGTATGCTGATATACATGACTGATACTGCTTTATAAATAGTTCTCTTCTTGTATAGTTCATCTAGATGTAAATTATACCAGTGACATTATTGACTTACTGGAAAGTTTCCAAATAGGTCTAGTCTTGGCATACTACAACAACTGCATGTAACACAGAAAAAAGGGTTTAAAAATGCTTTCAAAACATAGAAGGATTTTCTGCATGTTCTCTTCTGAAGTTTGTTGTGGTTTATTTACTACTCACGTTCTATGTGTTGGAGCAGGATGCTGAGTGGTGTTTCCTTTCATCTCTCTGGCAAAATTGCCCTACATTTGGTAACATATTTCCAGTTATTCATTATCATTGAAGTCAAAGGCCATCAGCTATTGTAGACACTTATACTTACATGTAGGTAGTCAGAATATTCACTGCTTGCATGACAGCTGTTCAGAACTAGAAAAGAAACTTCACTTTATCGTGGCTTTGGGTGATTGTTTGCTTGTTTGTTTTTGGGCTCGGTAATAGAAGGACATTTTTGCAATAGTTTTTGCAGCTTTAATGCATACAGAAATCATTTTGCATTCAATAAGAATGCTGGTTTGTCTTGATAGAAAATAAGAGTATTTTCCAAATCCACAAAAATGTTAAACAAATCATTGGTAGACCATGTGCAATACTTGTCTTGCACTGTTGCAGCTGTTGATATTGGAGTACTGGAGTAATATTTATTTTGATAAAGGGAAGGGTGTGGACAGAGGTTCCATGTGTAGATGATCCCTGTTTCTTACAGCTTAGGGAACATAGTTTATTTGTTAATGAATGAAGGCCAAGAAGCGTATAGTTTCAATGTGAGTCTGGTCTTGTTCAATTTATCTGCTTCTTTTTACTCTTAAAATAATCTCAATCTAATATAACAAAAGTAGGAACAAACTACAGTAAACTAGAAAACATGTTACAACTGGAAATCTAAAGAAAAATTATCTGAGCAAATCAAGTTGTTATTTTTTGTTTTCCACAAAACTGAATGGAAGCTTGATGACATACTACAAGACAGTAGGCATGCAAATCAACACTAAATGCCTATAGTTATTTATTTTTCTCTGAAAAATGCTAAATGGCTGAAACAAATCAAGTACTAACTGTACAAACAAGGTCACATTTATGCTATCCATAGAATTAAAATAAAATTAGGTGATTAAAAGGTATATTATGTGTAAAGGCTGTTTTCACATGCTTAGATCTATACTTGGCTTAAACTGCAAATGAAAATGAAACTGACTGTAAATATTCTATGAAACTTAATTGAACTGAAATTATGTTTAGAAGTATTATCTCTTTTTGCTACCATGAGGACAGTCAGGTACTGGAGCAGGTTGTCCAGACAATTTGTGCAGCTTACATTGTTAGAGATTTACAAGACTAGATTAAATACAGCCCTGAGTAACATGGACTAACTTTACAGCAGATCTTTCTTTGAGCAGCAGTTCCTCCATAGGTCCCTTCTAAGCTAAATAATCCCATCCTACTGCAGTATTGTGGTAGAACTACTACTGTCAAAAGTCTATAAACAATTTCTGTTTGACCATTTATAGTCACTTATCCTCAGTTGGTATCTGATACTTTACAATCAACTTTCTTTTGAAATTAAAATTTGCTAGGACTAAGTTAGACCTTGATCCCACAAAGTACTGAGTGCTTGTCGGAAGACTGGTTCAACAATGACCTTAGAAATAAGAAACTTTTAAATATCTCTAAAGTCCTCTAAATATCTAAAGATGCAAGATCTAGGAATTTGGAGCTTAAGAAATAGGACCCAGGTCTCCACGTTATATATGACTTTCATGATCAAGTCTTTTGAGTGCTAAGATTGTACTATGATAAGAAATAAAATATATACCAAATACTTCCCTTGAATAATTATTCTGATTAAATCATACTTGTCGAAGCTTACCGCATCCTATGTTCAAAGATCCAAATAGAATTTAAATTTTGTCAAAAATACCAAAAAGAAACTAACAAAGCACAGAGCAATAAAGCTGTAGCATACTACACTAAAAGCAAGTTTTCATCACATACAGAAGTATCAACTTGAATTTAGATTCTGTAGTTAGATTCTGTAGTTAATTTCATAGAGGCAACATCATGCATTCAACTTGGTATTAGTTGCAGGATTTGTACCTACCTAGCCCAGTTACTAAGGTCTGTTTATAACACAAACAGTAATAGGTATTTCTTATAAAGAAGATCTATTTACCTTCTGAAACATATCTCAAAAAAATGGACAAATCATTACCATCACCTGCATGGAAACCTCCCTATCTGCAGCATATTTCTCTAGCACTGAAAGGTGTAATATCAAGTTTGTTGCACAATTATAAGTCTGAATTTGAATTATTTTTCAGTTCTGATACAAAACATGAAAATTAAATTTAACAGCTGATATTTAGCTGACATCTTGGGTTATGCTAACTTATTACTATGTCTTGAAACAATAAGAAATGTTTTTAAACAGTATTATCAACTTGAATATGGATCATCAGTTGTAGAAGTTTTATCACAGGCAAGTTATTATCCTGATTTTTTGTTGTCTTCTATCCTTATATAACGTGATAAACTGAGACTTACTGTACAGCAAAACTGATTGAGTTCACACAGATGTTACCTTCTTTCACTGATGTGCTTACTCTTATGATGTCCACTGCTAGGTTATGGGTTGTAACAAGATACAAGCAACATGAAAAAGAGCAGGGTTAAGATAAATTTAGGTTTACATATCAGTAGACATACCTAGGACATATGAAGAATAGCACAGTAGAGAATATCACATAAGAATGTATCTCAGCAAAGCTATAACAAATAATGGGAAAACAAACAAACAAACAAGCAAACAAAAAAAAACAACAACACAAAATGACAAAACAGATGGGAAATATACATCATCAGACCTTGCCCACATCACTGTATGAAGAATTGTCATTGCATCTTTACATCACTTTATACTTTAGAAAAAAAATTCTACTACCACAAACAGATAAATAAATAGCATCATGACAGTATTAGGCATTAATAAAGTCTCTCTTTAAAAATGCAAAAAGGAATGTGTTTATTAACATCTTGTACAAAAAAGAAAAAAAAAAGATATTTTTTCTCCTTTGGCTAAACAGAACATAGACAGAATTTTTCTCTAAGCTACTTATAGCTCAAATCTGGACAAAACAGCACCAGATTACATTTCCTACTTTCCCTGTGTGACATAGAATTTGGTCTTAAGGTACAAGATCATGTTGGAAATGCAGACTGCTTAACACAAGAACAAAACTTACTAGTACGTTTGCATGTTTATGTTGCATAAGATAATATAATCCATCTGTTGGAAAAATGCTCACTGAATATTATATATCTGGCTTAGCAATAAACATGAATAGAAATCAAGTTTTCAATTTTTTTTATTTTTTATTTTGTTTTAAATCAAAACTTGGATAATAGTGAGACTTACAAAGAAATGTGCTCAGCAACCTGAGGCAAATTATGCATGGTAATGTTGGAGTCACTGAGAACAGTTAACACGATGTAACCAAATGTCAACTGGAATATTTTGCAGTAACTTACCAAAGAGGTCTGTGTTTAATGAATATACGAATGCTTGGTTTCTAAGTTTTCAGCTTCAGATGGCGAAGATTAAGTGCTAAGGGTGTTACTGTAAACGTTTAAGTGAGATGAACATCACCGATTTTCTAATTTTACCACATGGCTTATTTCAGAAGAAAACAAGCACCAGTTACATAGTTCTCCTGCAAGTCAGTAAACAGTCACACACAAAAAAAATCAAGACAATTTGCTTCTTTGTTTATGCGGAGGATATTTAGTTTGGTTTGCAAAGTATTAGAAGAATAATAAGAACCTCCTGGCAGAATACCGCAACTAAATTTCTAAAAAGCCACTCGGTTAATCTCAGTGTTGAATCTAGCTGTTTCAAATTATTGTAATGTATAATAACAGTCTTATTGACAATATAGATGCGCAGAGCCAAAAAAAGCTAGAAATAGTGGCCAAAACAATGAACTAAGAGCCAACCCGAATGACAACAAACATCTGGCCATTAACTGAAGAATGGAGGGGTTTAGGAATGCAGCTGTCTGTGGTCTCCTCCAAGTTCCAGAGCCATGAAATACTGCGAGGATTGGCGAAAGCTGGATGAGAAGCACTATTCCTGAAGATAGTAGGTCCTAAAATGGAGTCAACAATCAGTTCATGGTGGAATTTCAAGATTTCTGTGGTCAGAATATATTCATTCCAATGGCCTCATAATGTACATCAACAAATTAATATTGTATGGATGTCATTTCAAAGCCTACTGAAGACGAAGAGCCATTACTGAAGCCATTAGAGCACAGATGGTTCAAACTATATGCAGATATTCATACTTGCATTTCTGCATTATAGCTACTTTTTTTTTCTCCTGTTGAACTGTAATGAATTGTCTCATAATCTATTCCATCTTCTTGCCATTAGCAGGCTTTGAATGTTCACAAATAGGAGCAAAGAACTCATTTTCCAGAGCTTTAATCACACAAAGAGGGAATGCCTAATTCTCTAAATGAAATGGTCTGTGATCACTGAAGCAGAGATTTAATATATCACGGCAAATTAGGTAGATTTTAATAAATTACTTATCTCTCTGAATACTTTACATATGCTTATAAAGAAACATAGCCTGTTTGCAAACAGTGGAAACCCACAGCCTATAAAACCCTTTGAAGAAAACGACAAATAAAAAAGTAAATTAAAAAATGAAATGTATTATATCCTCGTTCTCAAGAGACAATCCTTTTGCAGCACTGATTCACAGCTCCATTAAAAATATCAATTAAATCCTTCATTGAGATTGGTTAAAAGCTAGAAAATTAACTTTCCAAGCTAGACACTGGTTATTCAGATACAACAATTCACTGTATGTTTGATATAAGTTCTAAAAGTGACAGAAAACAAACAAAAACGCAGTTGCCTGTCCCCACAGCTCAAACTATGTGAAGCAAAATCTGATACTTTATGGCTTCTTTTTGTGCTTTGACAGATGTTGGCTGAAAGTAAATCTTCTACTGTATAGAAAAATGATTGTGCCTGCCCTCCCCCCTACTTCAAATCATGATAATCATAAACAGCTGATTATAATGTTAGTAGAAGGGCAAAAGTTATTTAAAAAAGGTTGCAGTAATTTAATAAGTCCTGCAACTAGCCTCATTTTTTATATTTAATTGATAGGAACTGCATGCATCAAAGAAAACACATACTGAGATTTAATGTGCATAAAATGGATATTAGCATTTTAAAGAGGCAGATTAACACATTAATCCAAGTAATTTTCATATATTGCTTTTAATAAAATCTTCACAGTATAAAATTCTTAATGAGGCTAATCACAGGCATTCCATTTAGTGGGGTGATTAGGGATAACATAAAAGTATTTTTAATCAGTTTTCTGAGGCTTATGGTTTTTTTATTAAAAATTAAAAATTTGACTTGCATTTTTATTACTGTTTTATGTAGGAAAAAATGTTGAAAATGCAAATAAAGCACATCATTCAATCATGTAGGTATTAATTATTTACAAGACGTTGTCCATTGTGGAGAGATACTTAGCCTTAGGGGGGAAATATAAAAACAAACAGACTGAAAAGTATACAAAACTTTACAACTACAAATCAAGAGTCCTTTTCGTATAAATTATACATTAAATATACCATATGAATTACAACGATCTCATCTTTGAAGCACTATCAAGCATGTATTTACACTGGGAGAAGGAACTTCTGTAGGCAAACTTCCCTTTCATGCCTCCTAGTCATCTTTGCATTCCTCATAGACTGAACGCAGTGCATGGAGGGCTTCCACTGTTACTTTGAGCTTTCCAATTACTGCACTATCATCTTCTGCATCAAAAACTAGAAAGGAAACATCAGAAAACAGCATTAGTTAGTTTCATTAAAGGCTTTGGTTTTGTTCTGATAATTTTGCTCAGGATTTGGACAGATGAAAAGGCACCTAGCATATGCTTAAAAAAGGAAAAAAAAATAGCTTCCAGTTCTGGCACTCAGCCCTACACAATTTTGAGAAAGATCTCAGACAGTTTTCATATTAAATGTAGTGGATGGTGCTCAGCCCACTGGAAACTCAGCACTCTAAGAACTAGAAAGTACATCAGTAAAACTATTTTGAAGTAAAGAAAACTATCGGTATGAAAGCTGCCTATACAAATTGTTTATTTTTCATAATACATAAACAGATGTTTAGACTTCAGAACCTAAACTGTTAAAGACATGCATGTATGCTTATAAATACTAAGTAAAAAAATATACTAATGAACACATTTTGTACAGTGTATATATGACCAGGCCAAATTAGCCTAGAGAGCTATCAGTATTTAAATAGTAAATTGTTATTTCCATATGGTAAAATGCAACATTATTTTAATTCCAGGCTTCTACTGTGCTATAAAATAATTAAGTGTAGACAAAGATGGTATTTTCCCTAGCCTAAACTATTTAACTACCTTCATTTTTGTTCCTGCGTGTTTTAAAGTAGTATTTAAAAATTTTATTTTACAGAAATTAGCTAACATGATTTAAAATTGCTCTCTTCTACAGTATCTATGCAAGCCCTGAGGGCCATGTTCTCTGCTGCTTTGATTAAAAACATGCTGCTAACAGTCAAGAATGAGGTTCTTTCCCAGTTCTGCATAAAAAGTAATGAGGCTGCCTAACGTGACTCTAGGAGGAATTTGAATAAAAACAAATAATCTTGACAGCACGTCTCCTCAAAGCAAATTATACAGCAAAGAAATGGCAAGGTTATGTATTTATGAAATGGACTGGGATAAGTACTCTGGGAACTTGCAATGATAATGCATGCTTCAATGACTAGGCTGCTGGGACAGCTCAGAGTAAGTTTGGGGAAACAAAAACCATCATTTACTTTGTTGACAGAGCTATTAGAGGACAGATGAGATGCTATTCTTACAGATCCAAATCATTTCATATATCCTTGGACAAATCATTCAGTGAACTGTCAGCTTAAAAAGCAAACTTCAGAGTGCATACATACATACATATATATATGTATTTAACTTACAAGAACAGCAGGGTAACTACAGCTGATTATATCAGAAAATAATATTAATTCATTTTTTTCCATTTTAATATTGTCATGTTATCTCTGAGGCATATATATATATATATATATATCATATGCCTTTGTATAAGCTCTGTTTCATCCATTCTTGCTTTGTTAGCCTCCTAACTGCTTCAAGTTTCATATAGGCCACTTCCACCCAATTAACAATAAAAAGAACAAGATATGAACAAGGTCTATGTTTGCAGTCCTCAAACAGAATGAAAGAAGTTTAGGGTACCTAACTTTTAAGAATGATTAGAATGGCAGCAGACTAAGTCTCCTCCATCTAGGTATATTCTTTTGCCCACAAAGCAATATCCACTTCTGAAAATGTGTATAGTATTATTTAAGAATGCCATTTATTGTGCCACTACACAGAATTGAAATCTGGGTATAAAAGCATCCAGATCTTAAGAACAGGACTTTTTACAATGATTTCATTCAAGTAAATGGATCGATATAGTCTACTTTTGCCATTATGTGATATATTGTTATGTAAAATTCATTTTAATTCTCTGAATGCTCTAACTATAAGAAAATATGCTTATGGATGAAATAAAAAAAAAATCTAAACTGTACAGTGAAAAACAAATACCAATATATACAAATCACCTGCCAATTATCCTTTGTGTTTAGTACCTCTTTGGCAACGTTATACATTATCTTTCTCATATGGATTTTTGGAAACAGAACATCCTAACCTACCATTTATTATTGATAGTAACTGTCAAGCATGAGTGTCTGCTCTTTAATTAACAGACAACACAAAGTTTGGTTTATTCCAGACAGGGGATTTCTAGTGTAGTGAAAAAGAAGCCAACAGTTTTTGTTTGCCTTTTTTGTTTTCCCTTTAAAAAAAAAAATCCTCTATATAATTTGTAAGCTTTAGTAGATTCTTACTGAGAAACAAATCTAGCATTTGCAGTGATGGGAAGAAGTGTGGGTAGGAATAAGCGTAAATGTATTTCTATCTGCTACTATTATCACTTTCATAGGTACAACATGCATAAGGAAAAAAAAAAGTTTGAGTATCTTCTGATTAGGGGAAGAAATGATCCTCACTATCCCAAAGCAGCTGGCGTTACATAATAATGATTACCTAGAACAACTAATACTGTATCTTCTGTCTTCATAATCATCTCAGACGACAATTAGGAGTTCTAAGAGTTGCGTGAAAGGTGACTTTCAAGGGTACAAAATGAATTTACATCACTAATCAATCTTATCAAATGCGAATTACAACAAACAGCCCATAAAATCCAGAACACAAACAATTTTCCATGGCTGTGAAATACCTTTTTGGAAGAGATGTGCTTTTGAATATCTACTTGGAGAAAAATTATTGGTGGAGAAAAGATGAAGTGGTTCAGCCACAGTAAGAACTGCATCAAATCTGTCTATTATTTTTCCAGGGTACAGAAATTTGATTCTTAGAATTTTCTTATCATGTTCCCGGAATTTCAACGCGTACTTTCAGTAATTTAGCTACAGAAAGGATGTAAATCATGCAGGATAACAGGAATGGATAAGAAAGCCTATTTCTTTCCCTCACCATTCAGCTCCCCATCACTCAAGGTATGGTAATTAGGCACAACAGTAGGAGTAGCAAGGCCACATTAGCGTGGTATTTGACTGGGGCTAACCTATAATTCCTGCTGTCACAAAGAATACCTTGCAAACATGGGCACACTGCCTCTAGGAATCATGTTGGCTCACCTTTATAGGAGAGTAATCGGTTGCTTTTTTTTTTTTTTAAACAAATATACTCTCAGCTTATTCTTTATTTAGCTTTACCACAATGGAGAAGGAGGATGGAGTGGAACAGGTAAGGATTAAAATGCATACTTGATAACCCTGTCCCTGCTACGCTGGGGGTGAGGAAAGGCTGAGCCAGGAGGATAGTTTTGTTATCTGTCTATTAAAAGACCAAATAACCTTCTATAGTCTTCTTATCTGCTTTATAAAGACGTTATCACAAAACAGAGGAAATGGAAGATTCCACACCTCCTACTCACCTCACCATGCTTTAATAAATCACAGTGAAAGTTCAGTCATGGTTTGTTACAGAATAATGCTTACTAAACTGACAGACCTAACAAAAGTCACCGGTATTTCATTTTGCCTCAAATATGTTTGATATGGAGGATGCAATCTTGAGGTACTCTGGGGATCATAAAATTACTTTCAACAAGATAAAGACATTAGCAATACAGAATTATTGACAGAAGTTTTAATAACAAAATAATACATATTTACAGTCTTATTGGGTAAATATGATGTACAAAATAGAGAATCATAACAAGTAGACATGTCCTAAAAGTTCTTAGGTTTTATGAACTGATTATTACGAGCTGGGAATGCTGTTTTGTCTTCAAAGCATTTTTTAAGGAATAACAAAATTACACAGTTTTTGAAGACTTCTTCAGACAAATGTGGAGGCCATTAGAGGCCAAGGAGGCCATTAAAGAAATTCTTGTTCAAAGTCAAACAACTACTTACACAGCAAAGCTTGCAGAGACAAGCAGAAATCGAACAAATAATTGGTGGTTACGGAAAGTTACAAAAAATTAGCCTCTAAAACTTACCATCAATATCTTGCTCGATGACGTCCCTTTCCTTCTGGAATATCTCTCTCAAACTGACATAAGCAAACCCAATATCTTCACATTCAAGATCCTGTTCATCTTCTGGGGGATCGGTAACCACTGTAAATAGTAGACTAAACATAAGAGAAGATATATTTATGTTCAGAAAGAGTTGAAAAGTATCACAAAAACGCATTAGAAAGGCAAAAAAAAAAACAACAAATAAACAAAAAAATGAACTATTTTTACAAGATAAGCATAAACCAGATCTCTATTACTGATGTGCAACATTTTCCAAGAAAACAATAGTTTGAGAACCTCTTTTTTCAAAATCTTCTCTCCTTCTTTAGCATTATTTATCAATACTAGAAGAACAGATAGAAGGACAGAGAATAGTCTAAGGATGAAAGATTTTTTTCACATTTCAAACTCCTAGGCTCGTTTAGCTCAGCTATTGAATAAAATGTTCAAGTCACTTAATTTCTTTACATATTCCCCTGTTCATTAAATCAAGGTTGTACTTATGTGCTTTTAGGAAAATTCATTTATAAACATTTTAAAATAGTGATAGCTTTTCTGTGTTTTTTGTTTGTTTGTTTTTAGATTGTTGACCTTGCCACGCATTTGATGTGAACAATTAAATGGCAAAAATACTCATTTTAGATTAAACATTACGTTTTATTGGTTAAAACCTTTGACAGCAAAATTTGTAAGAAAAGTTCAATTACTTTCATTTAGTCATAAAATGGACCTGTATGATTGTTTGGGCTTGGATACAGAGCATACTTATGAAGTAAAACTTTTCATTTGTCCCCAGTTGTGGTAATTCTGTTTGCAAAGCAAGCTTGAAACACATTGGATTCTTTTTGGACTGGACTAAACTAGACTGAAGATGTGCTCCAGGAGTACCCCTAATGCGCTGCACTGAAAATAGACACTCAGTCAATGGGATCAATTTGGAGTATTCTGAATTCTGAAAATCATCCTAAGAACTATGTACTTTGCGTATCAGACCATTAGCAACAACTGCTTTGCTGTAGAGATTCTCTCTCTCCCACTGGTCCACTCTACTTGATTATGCAGACCCAGTAAATCCTAAGCCATGCATTTTCTTGTCTTTATAATGAGTGGTGTGAGAGACATAAGTATTTAAGACAAACCATATCTAACATTTCCCTGCTATCAGAAATACTAACCATATTTAATGAAGTATTTCCAAACACCATAACACCATGTGCAAAGTATTTAGTGTAAAGTCACTGCGAGTTTTCACACATCATTAAGACACTTGTCAAGAACACTGTTCAAGTCCAGAACACATTCTACAAAACCAAACAGGAACCTAAAGGCAGTTCTCTCAAAATAGTACCTTTCTAATGCTGTATCATAAATTCCCTGTTTCAAGTTGTACCTTACACTGCCATTTATCCTGTAGTCATTCTCTCCAACCAATACGTCTACTATTTTTCCTTAATTGTTCCATTATTGTTTTACACTTTAGACAACAGTCAAACAAAACTAGCCTTGAGTACAGCCTGGACACAAAAGCCTTCGTCTATTTATCATCCTGTTTAAATGCAAGCCTGTTTGTTGATCCCAAACATCTAAGTTGATCCCAACAACTATATAAAATATTTGCATTTCTTCTGCGAACTTAAATTACACTCATTGTACTCAAGTATAGTTTTACTGTTAAACATATAATTACAGTATTGTGCTGGAGCTGACTTGAGTTAGTGGCTTGTGCTGGGGCCAAAAGCACTGAGACTGACAAAATGACAGGAATTCTGATTTAACTACTTTTTTGGTATGTCTTGGCAATATTGCTAAAACAGTGAATGCCTGTGAGATTTACAACCTAAAAATGTTCCAATAAGCACAATTCCAAAGGAGTAACAATCAAACTGCACAAAATCCAAGCCTATGGGAAAGACTATCTCAGACAAATAATAATCAAATCCTCCTAAAAGCCTTTAAGTATAGTAACAATGACTGCAATCTGCTTTTATAGCATTTTGGTTTTGTTCTGGCTTTTACTGAAAATATTTATTATTTTGATTATTAAGTACTTGTTTATGGCTAAAAGCTGACATCTGTTGAAAGTAAGTGTTGTTTTAAAAAAAGGTTCTAGAAACAAAAGAAAAAAAAGAAAAATATCACAGCTATTTCCAACAGCAGGTGGCTTGACGGAGTATAATGGATCTAACTTAAGATTTTTGGCACAGAGCTAAGGATGAGCAAAAGTGCCAAAACTCAATCAAAATGGAAGAATTAATGAAGTGTTCAAGATAACTATTAAATGAAATAAAAACAAGTTAAAAATTATAACAAAGCCTGATAAAACTGTTGGGATCTGGGAACGGATCTGTTCTGTTCTAATTCAGTGTCAATGTTGTATCAAATTAATGGGAGAAAACAGGTAGGCAATGATAGATAGGGGAAATAGTGCTGGATTAATTTTCATCTTGTAAGTGTACCAAGTGAAAAATAATCATTGCTTCAACCTTAAAAATACGCTTTACAATGCAGCAGAAAAACCTGAAGCAAACATTGTTATGATAGCACTTAAAAGGTGTTATCACCAGCAGGTAATTTAGAATGCCTGGGAGAAGATGTGATGTTGGCAGATTTTGGTTCCAATTCTTTACTCAGATCAGCCATTTTTAAGCAGCAAGGAGAAGTCCTTGCATATAATATATTAATGTGAAGCTAACACTGTATGTGTATTCTATATTCTTATGATATGGATGTGTAGCTTTAGCTTCTTTGGTGAACAATGACTTCATACAGTCAGTTTCTTGGTGCAGAAATCATTTCCTACCAAGAAACAATACACCTGTCAGGCTCAGCCTGGAAACCTCTCGCACAAACCTGTTCACTCTTGTTATCACAGCAGGGTGACTGTTAGAAGAATGGATTCTTCCATTCTTCACACACGTCTCTTTTGACACTTGTCAGATGAGTATGTACTATATCACCAGGTCTGCAAGTACTGCAAGTATCATCTAGCATGAGGAATCAGGTACGTTTCTCTGTATGACCCAAATTTCCACACTCTTAAAATGCTGAAAGGTAACAGATGAACACAAACTGGGCAAAGCATAAATGCAATTGGGTTCCAGTTATCTTAAATGGACTGGCTCAAATGCCTCCTTTTACTACCTGATTTAAAGACTTCAACATGGAAGTACATTAGGCTAAGATGATAAAAGAACAACAAAAAAATACTAATTTTGTACCATCCCATTCATTTTCACAAGGTTTTACAAGTACTATTAAGTATAGCTTTCTAACATAAAAAAGGAATATAAACTGAATCTCTATAATACAACAGCAGAAACAAAACATAAAGGCTACCCTTGTCACACAGCAGAGCTATAAGAAAAAGCAAGTGTTCTGACAAAATTTCCATAGTAATGATAAAGACATCGCCTGTCTGAAAACTGTAGATAAAAACAAAGACGCTTGTCAAAAAAGAAGAGGCATCTTTGTGCTATGCAACAATTACCAACCTAAAAAGGATTTCAAGAGTCCTCCATGTCTCCTACCACCTCATGCTCATGTATTTTAGACTTTATAACATTCTATTTAGCACTGTATTTTCTTGATTATTTATATTGCTGAAAACACAAAGTGTTAAATACTGAATATTCTTGCATTTCCTGCCAATAAAGCCATTTATTGCAATATGGAACTAAAATCAACATTAAAAAACCACCAACAACAAAAATCATGATTATTCCACACGATGTACAATTGAGAAAAAAAAAAAGCAACTTCCTTTTAAGAAAATTTATCTTTTAATGAACAGTAAACCACACTCCCAATAAATAAACATACTTTCCCATATAAATGCCACATCAATATACATTTATTTATTTTGTAAGTATAAAGTTAAAGAATATAAAGCTGTGAAATTCATTATTTTCATGGTCTAACTGGTCCCCAATTCAATTATAGGACTAGGTTATCATCTGGAGTTCTGGCTTAGCAGCAATTTTATTTATTCTATTCAAATTTTTCTTTTAACACTTGAGAATATTTATTTGTTTCAAAGGATATCCTTCAACATGACTCTCCTTTTGGAATAAAAAACATAGCAAACAAGGTACCTGTGTTTGTTCCAATATGGAATTAATCATTATGAGTATCATTTCTAACAACATTTGTGACAAAAAAAAAAAAAAAGAAAGTTCACCTGAAAACTTAAACACATAATACACTGACTTTGCTCCTATAATCTGGCACTGTACAAACACCAACAGAGTGTCAGGCTAACCCATGTGCAGACAATTTTCAATGATATTTATATCCTTGATAATTTGGTCTCCTGATCTTTAAAGCATTAGTTTAGTTCAGTTCCTGTTTCAGCTGAAAAAGCTCTGATATTAGTTTGTAAGGCCTGTGATAGAAAACATGTGCTGAAGATAGAACTAGGCCAGGTTTAAAAACGCGCAGAGCTGAAAACGTTTGGTGTAAAAGAATCTTTCCATAAGTTTTGTTTCTTGGTGGTCCTCATGCTAGGCTAAGGCAGGGAACTGGACTACTGATGAACTTCCTGCCTCGCTGTTCAGTCGACACCGAATTGAAACTTCACCACAGAACAGTTTGTTCCACGTGACAACAAAGAAAACAACCTACCTTGTAACAACATTACATGATGGTGAAAATAAAAGATGAATGCTTCTGCTCTGGAGAAAAAGCTTGCTGCTGTTACTTATTTCATACTAAAAATTAACTTTTCAATAGAACGTATCTACATTAGATCTGGTGAATATTTAGTATAGATACCTAAGTATTTATTGGTGAAATTGCAACCTACAGACTAGCTAGTTTCCTTCACTAAATTATCCCCAAGGGGAAGAAAAAAAAAAAAAAGAGAGAAAAAAAAGAGTATTTTATCCTCAGTATCATTAAATTCTTAATATAGCATTTTCCCATTCTGTATGGTAAAGCAAATATTTTGCTTGCTTAAAGAATGAAGACTTTTTTAAATATTTATCTCAACCTCAGAATGCTTTGGTGCAATATTTCCCATTCCCACAAAGCTCATTTCACAGTTTTCCCTGCTATATCTTGGTAAAATCTGTTAACAGGCCAAAGCACAGAACTCAACTTTAGAAGGGAAATAGAATGAAGATGGACCACTCTGTCCTACTGCTGGAGTGAATGTGTCTGGTGAATAAACAAGTATTTTGAAACAAAAACAAGTAACACCTATACTTCAAGCACAGTCAGAATGTATTCTCCTCTTCTGCAAATAAAATCAACCTTTAAATTAATAATAGTCCCATTTTTATTAAGATTGACCTTCAAGAGTAAACAGAACCAGTATTTGCTATTCATGTGTTCAAAGTAATGTGCATGCTATCTCAATCAAAAAATCCGAATAAACAAGCTTATTATTACGAGCTCAGACTAGACCAATCCATACTCCTTCTCTGAAGTATACATACAATAGCTGACTACTAAATCAATTTTTATATAGGTTCAATTTATATAAAAGGCTTCTGGAAATTCCAGGGCTAAGGAATACTTTCTGAAGCTTTTATACTTTTAGTTCTTCAAATTCAGAAATCAAAAGACGTATTACTGTGATAGATGTGCTTTAAAAGTTCATCATTGATAGAATGCTGAAGACAGGATCTCTCTTTTGTGAAACATGACTGAACAAAAAACAAAACACAGCACTAAAACAACATTAAGAGAGACAGCAACGTTCCACGTCACACAAACCTATTCAGGGAAGAAACGATTATCAACCACCACATCAGAACATAGGTATAATTCCCAGCTGAAACAAAATTCTCTCTTGTTCGTTAGTTACATATTAACTTCTCTTGGGTATTTCCTCAATACAGTCAAAGAACAAGGCAAGCCAAATGGCAAAACGTAAAGCATTCTTTACAAAGACCTTTTATGGAGTTTTTCAGCACTAATATGTACCTGTCAGCGTTTAGATCTGGTTTTTGAAGTATAGACTTGAGATACTCTCTTCTTGCACGATTGTTTGCCTTATCCACATGTATCACTGCAAAGCAAATTGGAATTAATATAATTAGTTACCGCCTGTTTTTCATCTTCCAGGAGAAAAAGCGTGAAGAAAAGAACAAAGAAAAATAAACATTTCATTCCCTTGTCTTTCCTAAGGAAAAGCAACAACGCTAGAATCAAATTTGAAAGGTCATGTGATCTAATGGCATGTCACCGGCGGTTCTATGTGCACGCTGTCAGAAAAGATACAAGCAGCATCTAAGCATGCCACATAGCTGTCATTTTCTGTTAATGGCAATAGCAGTCATGATTTTAAAAGCCAGTGGTCTTTACTGCTTTGTATTTGAAGGGATTTAGCGCATTTTCTTCCACTGAGGAAGCTAGTGATAATGATAATGTATGGCAGAATGCTTGTCCTTTTTGACAGCCTCAGTAATTTAATCCTCCTTTCCTGCCACAATATTTCAATAAGAGAAACAACTAGACCAATGGACGGAAGAAAATCCACAGACCGGGGAGTGTGTGCAAATGCTCTAAAAGCCTCTTATTGTTTTAATTTAAAATAAAAACAAGAGACCCAGCGTTTAATTTTTGTACCATTAATATAACCTAGAGTGAAAAATAGTCTAGATTTGGACAAACAATAAAATAATACGAAACAGGGTTTTAGGAAATTTGTTACAATGTTTTTTTGGGAATCTTGTATTAAGAAAGTCACTTCTTTTTCACACATGGTATCAGCCTACAAGTATTAGAAGAACTTAAACTACTGTGAAGGACTATAAAAAATTCTGGATGTGAACAACAACGTTAAAGGAATTACACATTTTTGTTTTTTAAAAAGAAGTTAGAAACATAGCTGGAAAAAAAATAATACTAGGACAGAAATCTAACTTTCTGGGAAATAAGCATAGCTCCTAGGAACATTTTGCATTTGTTTTACAGAACAGGAGGAGCAGCTAGAAATTTGGCTCTCTTTCAATTCCAGCATCTTTATTCCCACCGTGGCTCACTCTGTCACTGCAGGAAAAAAAATATGACAACCTCCACCTTTCCTTCACTCTGCACATCATGTTAAGGGTTCTTTTCCTTTGTGCTGATAGAATCTGTTATGAATTTCATACCCTCCTCTACTATCCAAAGTAAACTTATCCGTATAAACAGAAGTTATTACCAGCAAGGATCAGGGAGTATCGGAATATAGGCATACAATATAGAGATAAGAAGGCTCAAATTAACTCCTTGCAAAGGGATTTATTGGTGGTCATATCCCTATCAAAGTCCTTCTAGGAAGCACATCATGCAGAGCCACTGTTCTTCCAATTTGCCTAAAGCTCCTCAACTCTTACCTGGCCAGCAGTACCGCTACTAGAAATCAGTACTTTCAGACAACAGCCAGGATATGAATCACTCAATGGAAGGAACCTTTTTTTTTTTAACACCTTTTTCCCTACTAGCAGAAAGCAAAGCACTGGTGTTCCATCTTGGGATCCTTAATTTCCACCCACAACACTGTTACTTTCTTGGACAGGTTAAAAAAAAAGCTATTACTGCCATCTGCTCTTCTTTTGGGTATGTGGATGACTTTCCACATGTGCTCCTCTCATGGCCAAGTCCTCCTGGGGCCACCACAGGAAGTGATGGGGAGGCAGCAGGGAGACAGATGGACAGCCAGAGAACTTCAAAGGAGCTGTCACATCCACAGACTCTTCCCTTCCCCATAAGCATTCCAACTGGAACTTCCTAAGTTTACTAATTGTGTATCTAAAACAATTTTAAATGGAAGTCTATTTACAAACCTAAAGAATTTGAATTCACTTCAGTCAGTGGAAAAATTCAGACTAGCAAGTAAAATATTCAGCACAACAACTCCATTCAAATCAGGAAAAATGATTAACCGCAGTGAAAAGAAACTTACATTTTTAGATAATGATGAATAACATACTTTCATATCACCCCTAACTACTGCTTATAACACTGAATTATAACACTGCTCCAAGGCGTGGAACATCTCATATTTCTATCCAATTAATTGCAAAAATCATCCAAAATTAACTTGTGACAGTTTGCATCTAAAATTATAATTTTTAAATTTGTCCTGAAGAAGCATTAAAACCTGAAAGATTAGAATGCCCCTGAACCTTGTTAAAAGCCACTGCAATTCTAAACATTAACATAGCTGGCTGTGTTACAACATACTTTTTTCATAATTCACTTTCTAACAGAACTAAATGAGTCTGTTTTGAAGCAGAGGTTCATTACAATGATGGAAAAACAATGTCTCATACTGTGTTGAGCTTTAATGGAGAACAAGAATAAACACCAAGAAGTACAACTATGTTTCTGATACCAGGCCTTTCATTTGAATTATTCTGAAGAAATCAGCCATTTTTCAGGGTACGGAACTTCAGAAATTTATTTTCAATGAAAATAAAACCCATCATCTTCCTCCCCACCTTCCCTACTCCCTTTGATGAAATTTTACCTTGGGCTGTCCAAATAACCACCGGTTCACTGAGAAAGTTGTCTGATTAAGGAACTCTAAATCTTTGGAAGATTTCATAGAATTTTCTTCTGCTGCTGTCTGTTCTCTAGAATCATTGCATACAGTAAAAATGGCACATCTCGGATCTTCTGTTACCTTCTAGTAGCTTTCCCGCCATCTCAGCATTTTTGTAGTTAAATCTTCATATTTAATACAACATGAAAGCTCTTTCTTAACATTTATGAACTGTCCTTACCTTGCTAATTAACATAATTGTGGCTTTTACAAGGAAAGCATTCCTTTTACTGAAATTGAGTCCAATATCAACAGATGCATTTTTTTACGACTGTAACTGAGCTTTGTTTTCTTGAAGCAACTGATGATTCCCAATGTTTCTCAGATGGTGAAACTGGTATTACGTTCAATTTAAAGTTATCTATTGTGACATGACTGTAAGTATTTTCCAGCACGCAATTTTAAAGTACGTTAAAAAATTAAAGTATGAACGCATTGCTTATAATGATCTCTAACACTTCCTAACATCATACACAAATTAAATCCTATCAAAGATGTGAATCTTTATTTATTTATTTTAAAATAAATCACAGGACAGAATCATGGTGTAAGCACAACTTGGGAAGTTCCCCTTTTCTCTGAGTTCATGGGATTAGGGTGTTTGGGAGCATTCTTGGGTATTCTGATAACTATTAACACCTCCTCTCCTCAAAAAGTCATAGTCAAAATAAGTAATTAACGTCAAATTACGTACTCTAACCACTTGTGAAAAGGGAAATGCATAGGGTCTTCTCTGTCCAGATAAATGTAGATCTACTCTATTGTTTTTCAGCAAGATTCCATTAATCTTCTGGTATATTACATATGAAGCAATGAAAGTGAAGGATATGCAAAAGGTATAGAAACAATACGTCTGGTTTTTATACAAAGAATCTAATGGAGCCTTCTGTATCATCTAAAACATGTTTAAAACACTCAAGCTGCTCAAGTAATAAATAATAAAAAATATTTTATATATAATTAATGATTTCTTAGGTTACTTATGGATTTACCATGTGTTTTTTTTTCTATACAAAATCTAGAAGACTATCAGTTTCCTTCAAATCTCAAAGTAAATTTCTTTCTCCCCATGCAAATCTCATTTTTATTAAAGAAAATATTCAATTAACCTCAAATATTCAACATACTCAAATCTAGCTAGACATAATAACACAATATTAGACAAATAAATTCTGTGATTCTGTGTGAAATAAGAGATGCAGTAAAGCCATAGTAAACACACATGCAGATTTCATTACTACTACCTTACTAGCTTTCCAACTGACATTATCAAACAGCAGACATGTTTTTTTCTTCTCCTATATGCAAAACTAACCTTAAGTAAAAATTATATAACCAATTATCTAAGCAAAACTCTGCAATTAATAATCATGGTAGTATAACGCTGCAGAATACAAGCCTGGAGCTGCTAATAACCACATTCTGATATTTGTTTGTTAGGCAATTTTGAAGTTTAAACATTTCTACACTTGAGCAGCAAACAGAAATATCAATTATCAAGCCAAGTTTTAACTAGCAGAAATAGTATAATACAGCATTACCAGTTCAGAAAACCTTATGAATTAGGCTCATGAATTAGCCTTATGTATCGGACTCTGCAGAGCATAATAGTGTCTTCCAATATCCCAGCTTGAAATACATTTAAGTTTCATCAGTTGTCTTAAGAGACTGAAATTTCATCTTGTACTCATCTCTGTTTCTACTTTCCCACTTTCAATGTATCTGCCCTAAATTGGCTGTTTTGCTAGTTCTACTTTGTGTAGTCAGTACTTAAAAAAAATCTAGTATTATGCTTAGATCATACCCAAAATACACAGGAATCAAAAGATTGTGCAAGAATTTATTTTTGTACCTCCTGAATGCTTCTTATATGCAAAGCAATGAGAACTCAAGAATGATGAGAAATCGAAATTGTTAGACAGCTTTCTTATATTGGCTTACGGTGTTATTCCAATGAGGTTTTACAAATTTGATTTCAATAATGTCTTCCTATCTAGCACATTTGGAAAAGTGTTTACAGCAACTAGCAAGATGAGCATTGTTAAAAAAAAAAGTTATTTACTTGATGTCTAATGTCTCTTACAAGATGTCAGAAATCTCACATTTTTAAATGCAAGCAGGCCTCAGTGAATGAAATTCAGTCTGCGGTGTTTTGTAAATAAAGGCACACGACTGTCTTTTTCAAAGTTACCAAAATTAACAAAATATTGTGCCCCAGCCTTTATATTCCCTCTCAAATTTGCAGTCATCCTATGGTCAAGAAAATGTGGCTTGACGCGACTCATCAGAGTGCATTTGCAGCCCAGAAGACCAATTGTATCCTGGGCTCCATCAGCAGAGGCAAGGCCAGCAGGTTGAGGGAGGTGATTGTCCTCCTCTGCTCTGCCCTTGTGAGGCCCCACTTTCTGTGGCCTTCAGTACAAGGAAGACATGGAGCAGGTCCAGAAGAGGGCCACAAAGAGCATCAGAGGGCTGGAACAGCTCTTCTGTGAAGAAAGGCCAAGAGAGCTGGGGGTGTTGAGCCTGAAGAAGAGAAGGCTCCAGGAAAACCTCACTGCAGCCTTATAAGGAAGATGGAGAATAACTTTTTACTCAAGCAGGATAACTAGAGACAAGGGAAATAGTTTTAAAATGAAAGAGGGGAGATTTAGATTAGATGTTAGGAGGAAGTTCTTCACTCAGAGGGTGGTGAGGCACTGGCCCGGTGTCCTGGTTTCAGTTAGGACAGAGCTGGCATTCTGCTAGCTACTAAGAAGAAAATTAACTCTGTCCTAACTGAAACCAGGACACCTGGGCTGCCCAGAGAAGCCGTGGGTGACCCATCCCTGGAGGTGTTCATGGACAGGTTGGATGGGGTGCTGGGCAACCTGATCTAGTGGGTGGCATCCCTGCCCATGGAAGGGGAGTCGGAACTAGGTGATCTTTTAGGTCTTTTCCAATCCAAGCCCTTCTATGATTCTATGAAAAACAAACATATTAGTATTAAATATTGCTAAATAATTCCTATTTCAAAAAGTTCTTATTAAAGGAACACTGAATATTCCTTAGTGATGTTCTAGTCCAATTACATATTTTCTCTTTTGAACTGTGTTTGTTGTACATGGTTATGTGGAATGCCTTTCTTCTGCTGTATCATCACGTACCAACAGAAACATCATTTCCTCATGTTCTTTGAGAAAGAATACGTAACTTTAACTTTAAAAATTAACTTAAAATCTTAAAAATGTAATTTAAAATCTAACTTAAAAAACTACAGGCTAACAGGATGTTTACATATATTGTAATGTTATCACTTCATACAGCAGCCTACTTCAACAATTGATTTTATACTTGCTAATTGCATCCCTAGCATTTCTAAAAACACTTGTAATGTTTCCTAAACTATCCAGGAACAAAACAAATACAATTAGTACACAGACAAATCCAACTATAACATAGAGGAGATATCGACGGGCTTTTCCAAAGACAAAATTTAAGAGAGGAAAGAAGAAAGACATTATACTTACCATTGCTGTAGTTATAGTGAATCCTCTGACCAATTGTTGGCTTTGGAAGTGACACTGGGGTCTCTTCTACAACTAAGTTGTATAATCTGCACTCTACAAACAGCTGTTGTATTGTTTCATCTGCTGCAATTCGTGACTCAGTAAGACCAAGTGATATAATTTCAATCCGGATTTTTTCAGTTGCCTATTTAAAAACAAACCACGAACACAATAAAAATATTTTTAATTTCTTGAAGTGTTAACTAAAACAAATATACATGTATGTAAATCACTGGGTATTTTGAATGGTTAACACTGCTTGATTGATTTTGACATAGACACAATGAGATTCTAAAGCCCCAGGGTTTGTAGTCAAGAGCATCATTGCAACAGATCCTGATTTACATTCAGTGTTGAAATACTTTTACAATAGTCATACTCTACTGGAGGAGATTAAGTTAAGGATATCTGCATTTATAAATGGTATCTGAACCACAGACTTCAGCTGCTGTTATTTTTAGCTACACAACAAAGTCTTTTGTATCTTAATCCTGTAGTTGCTTGAAATAGTCTCAGCAATACCAGGTATCAATGTTTTCACAATGAAAGAAAATTATTAGATGTGGTGCCTACTGCAGACTATTCTACAATTATTTTGATGAAAATCCATCAAGTTACAAAGTACTTAAGCATGTAAAATAACACCGTACGTACATGGAACTCAGTTTCATATACTCAACTTTTCTAGTAATATCAAATGCACATTGAAAAGGTAAAATTAACATCATGATAATAAAAGTAATATCCCAATTGGTTTTCATCAGAACCCTTTATTATATATATATATATATATATATATATATATTATTTTTTTAAACTATAACGACATTTTTTCTATTACTCATATGAAGTTGTTTCACACCACCCAGCAACATCTGTATTATTTGTGTACATAGAAATGTTAATAAATTTTATTGTGTTTAAATGGAAATGTCACACTCATCAGAAGGAGTCACAAATATTTCCCTAAGTAACTCTGTAAAAGAAAGAAAAGCCACTATGGTTTCAAAATTGGAGTACATAGGTGAGCATTCAAAGATGAGACTCTTCAAATAATAAACAGAGCTCCCTGCAGTTCAGAAATGTCAAAAAAAAATTGAGTTCTTTTCAAGTTCATAACTTTATTAAAATTATTTCCCCTACTTGGAAATATTCTGACAAATTTTTATGGTAAATATAAATCATTTGAAGTAAAATTATATTCAAAACATCAGCTTTCTAGATTCAGTTAGAACTGCAAATCAATATTCTAATTTATTATGGAGATAGCTTATGCTTTTCCAAGCAAATTATATAATTAATCAAACTGAAAAGCAGGTGTATCCTACTGTAAAAATATCCATCATATAGAACAATTTCCATTGCTGTCAAGCCCTTTCAATATTTGATGAAGTAATTTTACCCCCTCCTTTCAAAAGACATTTCCTTTTATTATGTATCCTAAGACACTTTAACTAAAAACCCAAATCTGAATATTTCAATAAGGTTGTTTTATTATTCAGTAGATTCATGGAAATTTTACTAGGATGACAGAGAAAATTCCACACCATTCTGTCTCCACTAATACAGGTACACGGCTTCAGCTGGCAATATTACTAGGATTAGCATAGAATGATGAAATATTTAAAGGAATTTTTTTTTTCCAAAATCTAATAAATCAAATGACTGCCAAATGTCATTAAAGTGATGGTCTTTGACTTGAATATGCTTTTCATATTCAAATTTGAAAAGAAAGAGATGAAAGCCTGGAAAGGTTACTCAGTTTCAACTAATAACCTCAAGCACTCTACATTCACATGCATAAAAAATGAAATTGGCTCCATTGTCTAATTTTACTTCAGAAACAACTCCTTTTTTCTTGCACTGAACAGATGTATGAGCATCTGTATTTAAAGTGATATGCTGAATGGTTTTGTTCGCCCCAAAGTATTTAGTAGTTATGTCAAACTAGTTTGTACACAGACAAGTAGTTTATGAATCAAGTCCAAATTCAATACCCTGTATTACAAAGTATTTCTTTTACGTAACTTAAACTTGTTTGACATATTTAACCCTTGTAATTGCACACTGTAGGCAAAGAATATTACAGTTTTTCTAGGAGGGCAGAATAAATCAGGTATTGATGGCACTTTGTTAACTTAGAACAAAACAAATAACTGAGCCATGCCACTACAAAATTGCAAAAAAAAATAATTACTTTAGAGCTAAACAGTCAAAAATATTTTAAGGTCTGGTTTTATTAATCTTAAACAAAGATACAGCATAAATAAAAGAGAATACGAGCTCATTAAAATATTTGCAAATAAAAATACAGAAGTGCTTAAGAGCAGCAAAGCTGTATTTCACTACTAATATAAAAATGGTCATATTATGTAGCCACGGTGAAAATATGTCGTATCCAATATATGATAGGAATTAATATTTAACAACAACCAATTACACTTCTGTGATGCATAGTGTAGTATTTTCTTTTCTTTTCCTAAGGTCTTCCCTCCCCCCCTTCCTCCTCAACTTGTTCTTATTTATTAGGTACTATGCAAGTGAAAATGGAAAGTTTGTCTAGATCAATTACTTTGTGCAAATAATTCTATTTTGAGGTGAATACAATTATTCTTTAAACTTAATATTTAAAACAACAATTTAATACGATTTTTCCTGTAACAGAGAGGCTGGAAGTACATATAAAAATAGGGAATACCAAATGCTTTCAAAGAGTGGCTCTCAGAAACTGGCTCAGGGCTTTTATTTCAAGTCAGGAAAACAAAAAAACAAAACATGGGAAATATTCTTAGTCTGTGGAAATATTCTCTCTTCCTGTGCAATTCAATATCAACTATGTGTAACTAACATTAACCAAAGATTTGCAAGAATCATTGAATTCATTCAACAAACTCTGGGATTAAGTCAAGTACTAATGCACTGGACATGACATCAGAATTTAAAGTCCCAATGTAACTTTTCTCATTTGTCTGATATCTGAGATTAATAAAGCTTAGTCTATTTCCATAGCAAGTCGACTACCGTATTCAAGAAGATGTATATTCCATATTTCAGTTTTCTTTTTGGTCAGGATATTTAAGCAAAGGTTTGCACTGGTGTTCAGAATGCAGTAAATTTTCATATCAGGATCAACAACCTCTTTGTTTTCCCTGTAAGTGTGTAAATGTGAGGAAATAAAGAGGGATGTAACTATGTCCATTCTTCAAACAGAAGGAACTTAAGTGCATGCACTTTAGAATCTCCCCAAAAAACAGGGGCAAAGAGGTCTCTCCTTGTTCAATAGCTCTTTTAGAGTCAGACTTACTGGGAGGAATGGAAAGGCATGCGGCTTTCCCATAGGATCACTGGCCTTTGCCGTGTGCTGGGAGGAGAACGCAACACTACAAGGTTAGCATAGGAACAAGGTTCAGTGCAATCCCATCAGCTCTTTCTAGAGCTAGGAGTACGCTAAAGAAGAAAACAATTTGTGGTAATTTTTGCATTAGCACGTCTCTGCTGCCTTTTTTTCTAGTGCATAGAGTCCAAACTGACCATTTTCAGAGCATGAATTTGTCTTTAGTATCTTCAAAGGCGTGAATTACTTGCTACAGCTTGAGACAATTCTATGATTGAATATTGCCTCTTCTGCACAAATCTGTACCATGCCCACCAATTCACCGTATTTTTTTTTCCCCAGAAAAGACCATTTCTAATTCAGTACAAAACACTAAATATTTTAGAAAATACTATGGTACTGAGGGATCTGAAGCTCTCCAACCACAACCACACACCTGAACTTTTTGCACATTGCTCATAATACTAACTTTTGATCAATTGAACAAAATATTGTCTTTTTTGCCTCCAAATGCCTTGCCACCCCAATCCTTTCTGAAGAATTAACATAAAACTGTTCAATGTTACTCCCAAAGATGATTTATTTTCTTAACATTTCTTATTGCAATTTGCCTGCAGCAGTGCCTCAACTAAGAGTTTGTAAAGATAAACTGTTTCTGGGAAATAATAAATGCAAAAAAAAAATATATATATATATATATATATCCGGACCTGTTTGACCGCTAAGATATAAACTTCCTTAACTGATAAAATGAACAACAAATTTCAAATCTCAAAGCCAGTTAGCTTCATATCAATACAAATTAGTCACACAATTACTTAATTCAAATGCTTTGTAAATTAAAAATATCTTTAATTTCACAAGCAAGCATGATCCTTAGGTGAATAAGCATAAAAGACAGAAGAATTCTCAATTTAAAGAGCTGTTACTTTGTACATTTCAGCTACATTAATACTCATCAACATTTAAGCTACAGAAATAGGATGAAATAAAAAAGCAGTATTATGTAAAATTACACAAAACCAAACATGAGAGGATTCCTGTTATTATATGCATGTATTTTTCTATATGCAGATCATAAACTTGATTTCAAAAATAAAATAAAATAAAATAAAATAAAATAAAATAAAATCTCTATTTGAAAGTTAATCCGTTTAGGAAAAAACGCCTTAGTATGGGAAGAAGGTATCAGTATAGCATTTTCATTTGCTAAGAGGGTAACTATAGTGACAGAATATATCAAAGCGCACATTTTTAATACAGTTGTTCTTTTTATTTAGAGGCTTAATACATAACATTTGATACTGTTCTCCAACCTCCCATTAGAGTATCGTATGGGGACCATATAGATGCGTATAAATGAATGGAATTGATTCTCTTTCATATTACCCATAGCACGCAACAACTTCTGCTTGGTGATATGTTGCAGCTAATCAAAACTCAAGTCTAGTTTCAAATTCCATGCTATGCTTTTTAGGCCTCCAATTAGAAAAAACAACAACTTATTTCTACTTGTGAAATGACCGTAACTTACTTCCATGTCAATGAGCTCTGATAAATATAGCCTCCCAAGTGAGAACTGAGGAGCATTCATATTCATAACCACAGTAAACATTACCAGCTAGGTTAAAAATGGCTCCTGTTGATGATTTTCCTATGGGCTTATATACTCAGCCTTAAGTCTTTTTACTGAATTTAGCATTCTGAATGATTAGCTTTAATTGTTATGCAAAAAGTAATGTGTTACCTTTACTTAAGTTAAAGGTAGAGTCTTAAGAGATTTAAGACTGTGGTTTTGAACCATTTTGAAAGCTGCGTTGTTGTTGTTGTTTTTTGGCATTATTTCTCCCTCTTCTCTCAGTTCTCCCATCAAGACCAATGGCTTGTAAACATGCTTTTAATTATTACTTCAAAGTTTATTTGTCAAGCACTAGAATTTTTAAATTCATTATTTCAGTGTAATACCCAATCAAACAGGGTCCGCATCACGCTTTATCAGTAGGAAGAAAAACCAACAACTTAGGCTTTTCCCAGATCCTTCAAGCTTTCTTTCTTTTACCTGAGCTCCTGCCTAATAGTGACCATGATGTAGCCAACAATTATTTTAAGGTGGAGAACAGCATAAGCTGATTTTTAATCTTAGACCTATCAGTACTCTTTGAAAATAGTGACTATAAAGCTTTTATTGAAGTACCATTTACTTACTAACAGCTCTATTTCATAAATTCTATTTCCTTTTTCATTAAATATACTGGTGCAATATTCTTACTTCCCTAGTTTCTTAAAAAAGAAAGCACAAAGCAGCTAAGATTAGATCTAGACAAGACCAAGAGAATACTAGAGAACTAGTATTTATGACAAAGTAGAATCATAGCGATTCAACAACACAGGGATAACATTAAAAACCTAAATTTTTAGATCCATAAATTCAGATTGGGTATTCACAGAAAAGGCCGGTTTAAGACAAGCATCGAGTACTCAGGAATTTTCCTGAAGGTCCACCAAAGGTATTAAAGTCGTGCAGAAAATAAATTTAAAAGAGGAATTGAAGAACCCAAAGTTTAAAACTGTAACACAATGTAAAACACAATGTAAAACTGTAACACAGTGTCCAAATCACTTTTTTTTTTGATGAATGCAGGTATTTCATAGGAGGATGTGTACTATTTAGCTATCTGTACAAAACTGACATTTTAAAAGGAAAAGTATTTATTGTTTCCCTATACATATAGGGAATTTGTATGGGGATTTATATTTAAATCTACCCAAATTTTCAATTACATTTCTTTTTCCAGGTGAGCCACAAGGAACTGGTGTTGCTTTTTACTAGTGTTTAAGAGAGACTTTAATGTCAACATTAATTAGACCCAGAGATGTAACCTTGCAGGAACCAATAACGACAGTTTTCAATAAACTGCTATTAGCGCAAGATAATGCACTCACAGAATCAGCAATGAAAAAGAGAGACGTAAACACTCCTAAAGCAAGGAATGGGACTACCACAGAATACATTGTTTTTGCCAGTAATTGCTTTATGGGCACATTTTAAGAAAACTTGGAAGCTGACAGCAGTAAATTTTATTGTGATAACCGAATGCTTTATCATTTCCTATACAGATAAAGCGTAGGCATGGGGGTGAAGGGGAGGAGGGATGAGAGAGAAAAGCCTTTTTTTTTTTTTTTAAATATAAAGACCATGCCACAGAAAATGCAAATTCCCAGTTTTGATGTCTATTTTGAGGATCTGAAACAAGGCTTTTAATCAATGTATTATACATCAAATTGATAATGTTAACTTCTGATTATTCAAATGTATGAAATATTCATAGAGAACTGTCCAAACTTTTACATTTCTCAGACTTCTTTTCTCTATTAATTATCATGCCTGGAAGCTTTTTAGTAAAAGCAGCAGCCATCAGCCTGACTGAACCTGACAAGCTAGCAAGGCCCAATTACACTGGCACTCGGTGGCACTTTGATGTACTGGAAACGAAAAGAGATAGGGGCAAATTGTATAGAACATTATGTTAATGACTTGATTTAATCCAGCCACTAAACTTTATGTAGCCTGTTAAAAAAGATGCTAACACTAATTACGCCACTTTGGAAAGGAAAGAAGGGGACAAGCATTTCATACCGACAAAGTGAACCTCATAAATGTTGTAAATGAAATGAAACAAAATGAAGTAATCTATGATTAATTATACATCATAGACAAGAAGAAAAGAGAAAGAAGCAAGTGGTATAGCTAAGTACTGGAAAATCTGTTAGATTCCCTTTATGATCAACATATCTAAGAAATAACCATGGACTGTCTAATTTGCAACATGCAAAAAAGAAACAGTATGATCTTAAACGGCTTAAACAGTTTGGCATACAACTCAGATTCATAGGATAATTAGCATAACGATCACTAAAAATCACAAGTCTTATTTACAGTGTTTGATTACCAGCAGGATATTTATCTCATAAGATAAAAGGCACTGATTTTTAGTCTTTTAAAAAATATGAATTCGATCTCAATTGTCACATGCTGTATTCTGCAAAGATTTCAAATACATCAATGCATAACTTTAACCTGAAATTTGTATCAGTTGTGTTGCTTTAATAGCTTATAGATTTTTGTTGTCTTATCTACCCTTCTTGAACATGCACTGTTACTTGAAGAACAAATCTGAGAAGACAGAAATCAATGAGTCTGAAATGAATCTACACCCAAAATCCTCTCCAAAATATTTTAAAATAATTTTCATAAAATACAAGAGTACTAGGGATGTATAGATCCCTAAATCTCTTCTACAACTTACAAAAAAGGAGCAATATTTATCATAGGAAGCATTACTTGACATTGATAGTTTGTAAGATTTCACACAGCCTTCACCTGAATACAAAATACAAAAATCAAACTACCTCTAGATTGTCATATTTCAGCACATTAAAAAGTTAAGGCTGATATAATGGCATACCCTTACTCCTTTAAAAGAAGGCTAAGACAGACCAGTAGTAGAGAAGTATTAACTATTAGAAGTACTACAATTAAACAATAGATGTCTATTTTACAAGACTATTCTATGACCATTATAAAAGTATACAATATTCTTGTGTTTGTAGAGAACTATGCTCTTGAAATACTTCTTCAAGTAAATTTTCCACATTTGTATTATGTTGCGATACATTGTATGTATGACTTTATGCTCATTAATTGCAGGTTCTAAGGACAATCCAAAAGAATACAATTACTGTCCGTGCCAAAAAAAATAATGTCCATGTCTATTAAAAAAATGTACACTGAAGTGACCGGATACTGTATGCACAAATTTTTCTGAAAACAAATCTTTAGCTCTAAAATTATTGTGAAGTCAAAGAAATCCATTTGGTTGCATTGAAATGTATTCAAGCCAAGCTTATGCAATTTTAACAACTTTCCATCAAGTCAACATACTGCGATAAAACACAGCAGATTTACTACAGGCCTTGACAAATTAAATTATTCTCTTCTTCCTCAGGAAGCACCAAAGGAAGTAGAAAAGCACATTTTCCTAAATGTGGCGATGAAGACAACAGGCAGCATGGAACAATACGACAAAGATCTTCACATTATAATTATTCACATTATAACAGTTATCTTTGTCTATTGTCCAAAACTAAAATTTGCTTTCAGATTTAAAAACATTAGAAATCTCTAGCTCCAAGTCTTTTACGTGTTCATAACAAATGCAACGTAACAAGATAACGGTCATCATTACTATCTCCTAATTTTCTACGGTTGCTTTTTGGTTGGTTCAACACAGGCATGTACACAGCACATGGGAATCCCAGCCATGCAAAAGAAGGGTTTGCTATCAACAAAATATCAGGTGACAACGGTGGAAAAGATGACAACAAATAGTCACAATTAAAGGTCCAAAATCAGCTGAAATTAACCCAAAGTTAAACAATATTTACCTTAAAGTCCTTGGTACATTCTAAAAATTTCTTAAACTATAATATTAGATAGAAATGATATTTTTGCACAAAATTAGGAAAATCATCATCAGGTAGTCAGTTTCCCAGTTAAAAACAAAACAATAAACCACATGAACAATATGGCTACAGTAAATTTTTCCTTTTCCTGTGAAAAATCATCTATTTCAACCAGAAACGGGAAAACGCAAATTCATTAGAAATGCCTTAGAACCTGACCTTAGAAATAGGAAAGCTACTCTTAGAGGAATTGGGCTTAACAAGTTTCGTTCATTTGTTTTTTAGACTAACAAGTAATTGCCATAAAATATTCCAGCTGACCTGTTTAATATTCTTGGATACCGGACTTGCAACAATACAGTCATCGCTGTCAGTTATTATTGATTCAGTGGCATCATTTGTATATTTATCATCTTGATCTGCTAAAAAAATAAAAAATAAAAATAAGAATCAACGTAGTTAAAAAACAATCCTGTATTTGTGGTCCATCTGAGATTTGCTGAGAAACCTGATAGCGATATATTAGCTATTTCTAATAAATATATCAAAACAGCATAAGTAAATCTCTTCCTTGCAAAAGATAAGACTGGCAAATCAATGATCTTTAACATGGTCTAAATACATTTATTTTTTTTTCTGATTTGCTAAAAAATACTAATATTTCCAAGACGAAAGTTGGTAAGTGCAATGATACAAGTCTTGTCATGAACTGAAGTATGAACAGCAGTTCATAGGTAGGATATGGCCTGAACTTTTGCATTTGCTATTATTAGGTTTAACACCACGCATATCTAAAGAGGTACTCTTTTTTTCTTAAATAAAGTAATTCTATAACACAGATGAACTACTTTGAAGAATATTCAGGTCTCTCTTTTCTGGACCAAATTACTTAAAAACACAACAGGGATTCAACTTCATGTTTTTCCAATTTTACTAAAGAATTTTTACACAGAAGCTATGAAGAAGAATCTGAAATTTTAACATCCTGTTTGTGTTTCTATTTTAAATACGGTACCAAAGGCTAATAAACTGTTTAAGCTTAGAGTTGCAACGAGGTGAGCCAGCTTTTATAATCTTGAAATACATCTACCTCTTAACAACTTTATGTCACAAATATGGTAAGACATACTACCCTTTCACTGTCTGAAAGGATTTCCAGTATCAGCACTGGCTGTTATCTGCAGACAAAGGAGCATATTCATTAAAATAGTCTTTAGAACAGTATAGTTCCATGGGAGAATATAACGACATTTAAAATAGAAGCCAGGTTTCCTTTAATTTTTTATGAATCTAGGTCAGATACCAGATTTTTGCATTCAATTACTATACAGTTTCCATTTGGGATGAAAATAACACCACCATACCCACCAGCCAGCTTCAGCTATGAAGTACACCAGAATATCATTTCTGTCATGCAGCTTCTCATAATGAGGCAGCTCCCACTGCTAGTAAGAAATGCTTAAAAAATGGAAAGATAGATTTATTAAGGAAATACAGCTACTTATTTGTAAAAAATGAATTCTACCTTCCGATTCCAATTCTTCAGTTACTTCTGTCTCATCTCCAGAGGTAACTAGGCTTTGGTCAGCCAACTGCCCTTCTGAAAGATGTGAGAGGTCTTCTTTTTCTTGTTGAATTTCTTCAGCAACCTCCTTCACCTTACCATCTGCCAGCCTTTCTTGTTTAACCTTATATACCACATGCAATATAAAAACAGATAAATTCAGTTTTTAAAACATTCCTCGAAAGTTACGAAGGTTCAAAACTTGAAAAGTTATGGTTCACATTCATTACACAAATGCCTTTTAAACAACTGTATTGTTTACGCAATATAAGAAGCAATTGAAAGTTTTCAACTGCAGTAACAGATAACTGATACGGAAGACAGACAATTCTCTAACAAATGTACAGTTGTGAAAACATAGCTATTATAATAATTTAGTGACTGTCAACTTATACAATTAAATTTCTGGATATTCATTTATATTTCAGCTGTTTCAGTTCTAACAGACTCAGTTTGAAAAAAAAAATAGGAAAAAAAAATTCTAACTTGGCAATTTTATAACATATTTCATACAACATTTTCTTTTTCGAAAAATAAAGTAAAAGATAAAAAAAAGACAGAAACAGTTTTGCTATAAAATATGACAACTATGTTATCTAAAGTAAAATAACTTTAGTACCAACCCGTCTCTGAAGTAATCTTATTCCCTTCTTTCACTTTAAGCACAATTACAAATAATAATGCCTTATCAGTGACATAACATTAGAGATATTGCAAATTTCAGTGGAAGATTCCATTTATTATTTAATAATTGTCTTCCAGGACTGCGGTTTTCACAGCTAGAGTCATGCCTCATCTACCAAACCTCAGAATACGTGAGGTAACTTTCAGCTGTCCACAGAACACCCAGATTTTCCAAACTTGTTTTATATTTGGACACAAAATAGTTTAACCATTTTACCTTAACTACTTCAGGACATTTGGAGCCACACAAAGCAACGCGATATTCACAAAACACTGGAATCTTCTATAAGTGAAACCGACTTTGTGCCTCCTTGGCACGCATGATCTCTTGTAACTAAAACACTATTTTAGACAATGTTTCGGCATTCCTTATAAAGAATTCTTTCAGTGAGAAAGTTACATTTTGGTGGATAATATTTTTGATTAGTTTTTGACTATTCTACCTGACCAACATGACCTGATGTGGTAGAGGAAGATTTTTGTGTTTCATTCAAACCCCTGAATGAGCTTTTAAGTAGAAAAATGAAAGGAAGTTAACAGCCAGTGAATAAACACTAACACCACCATAACCAAGAGCTTGCCAATCTGCCACAGGAACTTACTTTCAAAGCCAACCGGGGTACTACAGCATTTAATACTTATCTTCTCCTACAAATGCTACGTATTTAGCAAGATTCCAAAGATAATATATTTCTTCTTCTTTCCTACCCCACTTTATAATGATAATTTTTAGAGTGAAGACAAACACTTCATCCAAACATAGAGACAAATAAGAAGACAAATTCCTTCTTTTCTAACAACCAAAAAAAAAAAAAAAAAGAAGAAGAATGTCATCACAAAGAATCACTTTTCCCCCTCATATTTCAATGAAGTTTAGGAGATGTTACTTAACGATAGTTTGGTTTTTAATGTATGGCTCTGAAGAGATAACATACACCTGGAACTCAAATGCAATACATTATATAAACTGCAAAAACTGAATAATCTCATACCTCTAAAGTGCTTGGACCTGTTGAAGCCTTTATCTTCCGTGTATGTTCCATGTCATTTTCAACAACAGAGCCCTAAGTTATGGGTAAAATAAGGGGAAGACTTTATTGCATACTACATAATTAAAACACAAACCTAGGTATGAATTTACTGGTGGAGAAGCATTTGGACAGGAAATTACACCCTCCTTTGCTTTTCTGGATTAGCATTACTGCATCTACCTACTGCTATAGGTTCCACCCACGACACTGGACAATTCATACAGTTTGGGTCCTAATGAGAGTCAAACCATTCATCCAATTTTTTAGTGAGCTTCCTTTTCCCAAAACTATTTGCTTTGGCACGTGTCATATGAATATCTGAGAAACAGATTCTCTGCTATTCAGAAAATGAAGCAGACCATTCTTGCTCATTTTTTATCTGTTAAGCTTCTAATTCTCTTACATGGGCACACTCTTGCAACGTCACCACAAGATTTAGACTTCAGAAAAACCCCAAATATTTCATTAGTTAGTACTATCATTACTTGTCTATAACCAGACAGTGAGATTTGGATTTTTAAAGCTGGTAGTGAGTGACTCCTGATAAAGATCAAATAGCTAAACCTCTCCCTTGGAAAATCATACTTTGTGAAAAACAGACAGATTTTGACAGGTTCTAATCTGGACAGCTGAAGTTATGTGCGTTTAACCATATGGCTAATGGGTCAGTTAGCTTTAAAAAGATTTGATTTCTCTGACATTTGCCTTTTTTCCTATTTCTCATCTGTATAGTACAGCTCAAAACAAAGTTGTAGCCACAGCAATAGCAGAAGGAGCTGTGAATCGAAATTGGTATTTCAAATAATAAATTCAATCAAGGTATTTGTAAATAAAGAAAACAGCTGGTATTTTTAAGACTATTAGTTAACTGCAACATGATATTAATAATAAACTTTATAATTAGCTATTAAAGAACTCATCTGAGCTTACTGGAGTTAAAACAATCTATCCTCAGAAAACAGTTTAAGACCAAAAAGAAAATGTATACCATCTAGCAAATGTTTGAGTTAATTCCATGAAAAGCCTCCTAGAGTCTAGAACATAAACGATAGTTTATCGCAAGTTTAGAAGTGTACTCGGCCTCATAGTGTTTGTGATCACAGCTGACAAACTTTGTTGAAAAGAGGTGGCTATAAATGGTGTCAACTTGCGTACACCATTGGCACACTTCAGATAGGTTTCAATCAACCAATTATGCTTCACTGTGACTGGTTAATTAAAGACATTTTGATAACCTAGAGAGCTAAGAAACAGTGCCGAGACAGTTAATTGGTTCTGTTTGAATCTGCCCTAAGTCCATGAAAGGGGAAGCTCATAAGCTGTGCAGGATAGCAAGCAATTCTGAGGGAATCATAGATACCCCTGCACTGTTTCCAACACCTATATGCACTGCTATGCTATCACTCACTGCCTTGGACATGCCAATCTTCTGTTGCTTAAAAAACTGAGTGTTCACAATTATTAGTTCTACAATTTGTCCATACTGTGACATAAGTAGTCTTTCTTGCTTCAGCATGCAAGAAAACTAATTAAGCAATTAAAACTTACTGCCATCTGTATTGAACTAGCATCCAGAAAAGATACTTTCTTCTCTGTTTGAGCTGCACGGTGCCTTGGTTTGGGTATTGGTACCTATAATACAAAAATATGGTTGAAGTCCATTTATTAGCATATGTTAACTATCTTATTTACAGTAAATTCTGAGAAATCCTTTTTTTTTTTTTTTTTTTTTTTTGACTTGTACACAAATGTAATTGTACTACTTTCAATTCTAAATGGGCAAGATGATCTAGTTCTTGTTTGAGTACCCCCCCACACAAAATGGAGATGCCTTTCAGAATTAAGCCACAAATGGGCGTAACATTCTACAGAACATCCATGGAATGCAAAGTGAGTTCCAGGTGCAAAATCATTGTAGGACTAAACTCAGCAGCATCATGCGTCTGGCAGAATAAATTGTTACTGTTTATTGCATGCTTGATTTCTTTTTCTATAGGCTTGCCATATCTTTGACACCTTTCTCTACCCCTGACTCCCCAAAAAATTTTAAAGTCATAAACAGATAAGAGATTGATAATAGTTGCAAAACTAATAAAGTGATCCACTAGTATTTCAGCTGTGACTTTATAATACAAAAGACAAAAAATAACAAATAAAAAGGGGCTCATTACTCTTCAATCTGTACTCTCTTGATAATCCACTTTACTTAAAAAATGTATAATTAATATTAAAAATTAATATATAAAATTTATAAAAAAATAATCCTTGTGCCACTTTTTATTTGAGTGATTTTTAAGAAGCTATTGGATATCTTAGCACCATGCTGTAGACGCCAGAATAGTGACAGCGTTGCAGATACACCTAGGTGTCTGTACATAAGGTTTGGATCTGGTTTCTTGGTAATTCTTTAGGCCCAAAGCTATTCCAGCTGACTGAGTTCTGGCTGAGTTTCTTAGAGATGACAGAAATAGCACAAAGCTAACTTTGTAACTATCACTAATTTCAACCTTAGTCCTGGAGTTAAACTAATGTGGCTACATTTTACATAGGACAGCGGCATTGAAAATACAGTTGATAAGGATGATATTCAATGTTTGTTATTTCTTCTCCCTACTCTCTCTTTTACTACCCAGTTGTCTACCATTACATTATGACTTTAAAAAATATTTGACACAAGAAAGATTTCACTTCCCAAAGGAAGTCCAAGATGGTGGTTATATGAATCATTTGTAGTATGCATTGTTTTACAGTAACAACAAATCCTGGTCATCAGGGAAGAACTAAATGATCTGCTGTAATAGATCTTTTGTATCTTTTAGCTTCTGTAAATTGGTTAGATTACTCACTGTCACTGATGCAGTAAGAGGAGACGGGACTGGATTCTGCATTTCTTCCTCTGCTAGTAATTTACTTGCCATTGATTCCTCATTTTGAATGTAATTCCTTAAGTCTGCAGCCATTACAGAGGCACTTGGTGGTAAGTAGGCAAATTTCCATTTTAGTTCAACTCTGATAGCACCAGTAACCTGTCTTTCAGAATCTGTAAGTTCAAAAGTACCTGAAAGCAAAAGGCAAATCCCATCTAGTTATCTTATTCTATATATATACAATAAAATGCAATGCAACGCTGAATGTGATTCAAGAATAAAATAGCTTAATGGTCTTAATTTTAGAAGCCATTTCATTATTGAAATAATGTCAAAAGACTGTTTTGTAGATTCAAATATACCCAATATAACACTGAGAACGTTCAGAAATACATGATTTAGAAGGGACTGGATTACTGTCTTTCAAGGAGTTCTGTAGGTTTCTCAGATAATCTGAAATGACATAACTGATTTTTACTAATATGGTTCATATGTAATTTAAATATATTCCCCCCTCCCCCCCCTCTTTTTTTTTTTTTTTTTACTAATGTTTATTTTTTGTTAAGGAAAATAAAATGATTTAAAAAAAACATTAAATCGATACATTTTTTATCAAAGAAGAAACCTTAAATTTACTTGCAAATTTTCCCTTATTAACCACTTTTGTGGGGTAATTATATTTTACAATAATCATACTGTAAAATTTTCAACACTTCCATAAATGTCTTATAGTTGACAGTGAAATATTAATTAATCAGCTTTTATGTTATGAACACCATAGCAAATTTGTAAATGATATCAAGTTGTGGGGAGCAACTGATGCACTGAAGGCAAAGCTGCTTTCACACAGACTGGAAAGATGGGCTGGCAGGAAACTCATGAAGCTCAACAACAGCAAATGCAAAGTCCTGCATACTTGAATAATGTCAAGCAGCAGTAGAAGCTACAAGCAGCCTTCCTTGCAGAAAAGAAGCTGGTCCTCTTTGAAAATTATGAGCCAGCAAAGCTGCATCTTCGCAACAAAGAAGGCCAACTGCACCCCAGGCTTCAACAGCAAGACAGCAGCCAGCAGGCCCTGGGAAGTTTCTTGCTCTGTTTAATATCTACGAGATGGCATCTGGAACACCGTGTCATTTTGGCCTCTCCAGCACAAGACAGTGACATCCTGGAGCAAGTCCAGTGGAGGGCTACCAAGAGCGACAGGGAGCACATGACATAGAAGAAAAGGATTAAAATGGATTTGTTTCACCTTCAGAAGTGGTAGCTTTGAGGAGATCTTACTGCTGTCTGCAGCTACCTAATGGGTGGGTACAAAGAAGATGGGGCCAGCAGTGCACAGGAGGAGGATGAGAGTCAACAGGCACGAGATGGAAAATGAAAACGAACAAGTTTTTCATTACAAGGGTGGTCAAACACCAGAACAGGTTGGCCAGACAAATAATAGATCTCTGTCCTCTGAGATATTCAAAAACTTAACTGGGCAAGGTTCTAAGCAACTTGGTCTAACTGGGTCAGGCAGTCAGACTAGGTCACATCTGGAGTTCCACTCAACAATGATTTTAAGAGTCCAAATTTAGATCTTGATGTTTTTTCCCTAAGACACGCTGATTTTTCATGTCAATTTTATAATCTATTTTTAAGTGCACATTAGCTAAAGCTAGAAAAGTAGAAAAGTAAACTAATGAGAAAAAATTAAAACATGCAGAGAAAGAAACCATGTTATAAATTATTGACAAACTGAAGTAATAGCAACAACAGAAAAAAAGGAGGGAGAAAGCGTACATATACCAAGTAACTATTTTTTAAATCATCAGAATTTAAGAAAGAGCCAGTAAAAGGAAATATTAAATAATTCTAGGTTAGTTTTTGTACCAGAGAGAAGCACTAAATGTTTATTTTTTTTTTTTTCCCCAAGACTTATTGCAAAGCACCTACTATTTTTCTTACACAAATATCTTGTCATTTATGAAAGCAGCAAATATTGAAAATCAAGTTTCAAACACCCCTTCCCACCTGATGCTAAGACTAAGAGGGCCTTTATATTTAATAATCAATATACTCATAATCATACAGTAGTGTGAGGAATATAACTGCTAAATTTGGTAGGCTTCTTAAGGCAAAAATCAGTAGTAAAAGAGACAAGGTGCAAACAGATTACTAAAATGCAAAGAAAAAACAAAAATATCAATAATCTATTAGCATTTAGTCAGTGCTAGAGTGAAATGTCATTCCAGTTATGATTATTTATCAAAACCTAACTATTCCATACCAGGGCCAGTAAGTAGAACAAACCAGAATTTTAAGACTCTTTATCCCTGTAAGGATCATCATAAATGAATGTTCAGACAGCTGGCTTTTCTGACTTCCATTTCCTCTTTTACTTTTTAGTTTTTGAAGAAAACTCTACTATTGCCATCCTTCTTGTAAGATACAGGATTCATTGCAGTTTGCGGATAACCACAACAAACACCCACTAATTTAGTATTTTTGTTAGAAACTGCAACAATCCTGAAACATTCTGTTAGTACTGTCTTAGTAAGCAAAAGAGATATTTGAAGCTTCTTCTCTCCTTTGCTCTTTTCTTTCTCTAATGTTTGCAATTTAATGGTTATATTAAAAAAATCATTCATCCATTTCCAAGTTCTGTCACAGATTTTTCTTTAGCCATGAGTAACACCGTGATGCAAAATTTCTTTCCAAGATTTCATTGGACTTTAAAATTCTGTCAGACAAGAGGAGCAGATGAATGATACAGGTTTTTTTTTGGTTTGGTTCTTAAAGAGATTTAAAAGAGATATGAAACAGGAAGTGAGGATTTTGTTGTGTTTAAAGAGGTCAAATTCTTACCTGAAATAGATCTGTCATGTGCTAAAGAAATAAGAGGCACACTGGCTTTCCCTAAATAACCACCTTCTTCTGTTTCACCATCATCAAATACATAAAATGTTAAGGATTCTGATTTTAGGTATCGGTCTAAATCTGCATTCATTGGCACTTGGAAACACATATGGTCATCTATTTCTGGGTTGTTGCTGCTAGGAATGATGGGAGTATCATGGTCTGCAAAATCAAAAAACTTGTAGACAACATATGGATTTGGCTGAAGATGTTTTTTTCGGGACTGTAGACTGTTACAACATTTTATTGTAATGTGGAGTTCATTTAAATTGCCATCTGTTGAAGTGCTGACTTGGGCAGTTCTGAGTATCTGCTGCTTTAAATGAAAAAGAAGTGGAATTAAAAACATTAGAATTCTTATAGTGGCGCACTCTAAGAAATTTATAAATAGAACAAATAACTTATTTGGATGACACTATAACTACTGTTTAACTTTCTATGACAAAATCTTACTTGTTCTATAAATACAGCTACATCTCTTTTGGTATAAGGAAATAAAAGGTTAAACCTTTCAGGTCTGTGATTATTTGCCTTATTCTTCTAAAACTAAGATCTACTTGTCATGTGATCATCCATAAAGCAGTTAAGTTTTAAGAGTGATTCATAACCAGTGCAGCTTTAAAGTTCCAGATTCTGACCTTGACAGCTATTCTGTGTCAAGATATAATTTTTATAACTGCAGTCTCTTTTATTTACACTTTTCAGTAATTAAAACTGTGCTGCAGATTTGTCTTAGTTTTTTTTTCCTTCAAAATCTTTATCTACACAAAGAATTCACAAAAAATAGAAATCAGTATGTGAAAAGCAATAATAAATGTTTGAAGTGGAATAAGGAAGTTGGTAAACGAGGAAATTAATTTTAATAAAAATTAAGGAATAACAAGAAAACAAATAATATGGTTATGTTAAAGTAGTAATCCCCATCTTCATCTATCTCAAAGGGCTACTTTGTTTTGCTGTGACATGTCTCAGCTATTTTCATTCATTGTACAAAATCATCTTGCTTTTGGAAGGCAGAGTTCTGTCTTCTGGTATATGGAGAAACACCTATCAATTTAATTGTGTGTGATAAAATGTTGTATATTTTGATTAAATAATCCACACCGGAATTGGTAGAGACAGCTACCCTGACAATTTCATATTGTCCTGAATATGCAACCTTAAGACTATTATTTCTAGCTACACACAGAACTGGAAAAAATAAAAATAATAAAAAAAGTCTTTATAGCAGTTTGTGTATAGTTCATGTTTCTATGACTTCTGCCACTACACAGGACAGAAAATTTTATATATATGTTTAACTAGTGAAAGCCTTAATTTTGGAACATACAATTGAAGCTACTTGTGCAGCTGCAGACTCATAGGATCCCTAACATAATGTAGCCATCTGTGCTATAGCTACATGACTTTTGTTTCCGCCATGAAACATCTTTAATAACTGCAGTGTTTCAAACAGCTCTTTAGAAACAGTTATTCATTTCTGACGGTTCTCCTGTTTTCTCCTTTATAATCAGTGTATTTCAGTTGCCATGTTTGAATTTGCAATTGTACAATAATTACAACAAAACACTCTGTTCCACATGCCTTACCTTTCATCTATGTTTGGACTAGTAACACAGCTAGAAATAACATAACATAAAAAATAGAGAAAACTAAATACCAGCTTTTGGCATTTAACAACACCCAGATTTTATGAGTTAGTTAAAAATACCTTTGATTCTTTTAAAATCAGATTTAAAGCAAATGTTGCAGTGCTATCAAACTCAATGTTTCTCTGAAAATACCTACACTGACTCTTAACAGAATGTGTATACCAAATGTACTTCTCAAATTACATTTTGGAATCGGTATTCTGGTATAAGTTTACATTATGGAATAATATAAAACAATGAAGTTACTCCAAACTTGTTGTAATTTTAACAGCTATAAATAACAAAAAATACCCATTAGGTCTGGAGTGTTTTAATTTATACAATTCAACATAGTTGATAGTAGTTTTTATTTCTTCAACCAAGTACTAAAGATATCTGAAAGTCCCTTCTTTTTCCTGCCTGTGACCCTTATCTAAACATGACTATAAACTGCTTTATATTGTCAGAAGTGTCTTCATTGTTTAGCTAAAAAAATAAAAATAAAAAGGAAAAAGTGAAGTAATGTCATAACACTCAAACATTAAGAACCTTTAGACTTTTCTAGACAACTACTTCACCCGTAATAGTGATCCAAGGCCTGGCTGGTCTAACATTCCTGAATGTTTTACTAGAACAAAATGTTAACAAAATTTGACACTTATAGGTTAAGAAAATACAATACAATTTAATTATATCATCATTTCAAATGTTCTAGTGACCAAGTCAGTAAAAATAAATAATTGAAGCTTAAGACTTTGCCAGTTCAGCAAAGCTGTAATTCAATTGGTTCTGTATCTCTTTATATGAAAAACACATCATTCAATTGCTAAAGACATTTTACAGTTCAAGAACATTTAACTTCCTCAACCTTGAGCACATCAAGAGTTGAAATAAACTATTCCAACTGAAAAAATAATTTTAAACATTGCATCCAAAACTATGAAGTACAAAACCAAACATACCTGGGATGATTGTTCATGTTCCCTAAAACCGGATGTTATGTACCCCAGAGCCTTAGACCTCTCTTTGTAAAGACTAATAGCTTGATCCATAGGAACCCGTAATCTGATCCAGTATTCTACAGTACCATAATTTTGGATGTTTCCTTTGATTCCTAAGGAATAAATATATATGGGATCACATTAATCTTCAACATTAAAGTACTTAAGTCAAACACAAATGCTAGGACATACCACAAATTATCATTTATTTTGTGACTATACATCACAGCAGTGTTTGTGACACGAAATCTGCAGTTTATTTTAGAGCCATGAACAACACAACTCTTCTGGCTCTACATGAATGACCTAAACATGAAGCATGACAGTTTTCTCATTCTGTTACCTGCAGTACTTACTGTCCAAGCCAACTTTGTTATTTTAATCTCTGAGAAAAATAAAGCTTAGGACAGTTTTATATGTCAATAGTTGGAAATGTTCCACCAAGTGGTAAGCAGTTTAAATTACTGGCAAAAATAGCTCATTAGAATGGTTTGTTGAAATATATTTTTGACACACAGCTAGCGGCCTCTTTCTGGGTAAAACTGTACCAGTACAAGCTTTTCCACAACTGTTGGTAGAATCACCAGAACGTACTGCACATCCAACAGGAAATATCATGTTGTATAAACCATTTTTTCTTCTTCTGAAATAGCAGTACGTGAATTAATTGTTGTCCAAATACACATTATTTGTCACTTAATGAGTATTCTGTTTAGTGATGGTGGTATGTTGATTACCAACTAAAACTGCTGTGCTGTAGATCTTCCCATTCTTTTCCAGGATTTCATGGAGCTTCAGTTGGCATGCAGCAACTGTTTTATAATCTGTGCCATATGCATGATGAACCTCAAGTGTGATACTGTTTCTCTGTATGTAGTGCAAGAAGCAGTCATCAACCTGTACAAGATACTGAGAAGTGAAGTCGTATAATGGGTTTTGTCCACGCACTACTGGGGTTGTTTGAAGTTCAAAGTCATAGAATGCGTAAGTACAAAAACTTGCAGGCTCATGGTCACCAAAAGCATGCACAGCTGCAGAAGAGAAGATCACTCTACTGATATGAATTTCAAAAAGATTCTCTCCTCTTTCCAAATGCAAAGTTTCATCAAATTCATCTACTGAATCATCTGGCAGTATTTCCGGTCTGAATTTGTGCTGTTTAGTACCATAAACAACATCTCTTAGTTGAGCTGCAATAAATAAAACACAAATAATTTATGCCTGAAAAGAGAGGAAAAAGCGTAATACTATTACAGGAACAAGGTTACTTTCTTAAAGGTGTTACCAAAACAAGAAATTACATGCTTAAAATCATCCATCTATGGCTTGTTTAGGACTCTGACATCAAGAATACCTCCACAATGGAGCTACTTCAGTATAACTAAAAATAGACACATGAATAACATTATGTTAAAATTAATAACAATTAAAAAGCAAAACATGCAGAAGCCTTACGTAGTGATCAAAACAAGTATTACTATGCTAAAATGTAGCAGGCACTTAAGATGCATATTTTTGTAGGGTTAAACTAAATAAAGTTATATTGCTTGCCACAGAAAGAAAGAAGAGTATGTGCTTACAGAATTAAGACATAAATCATCATGCAGTCCTTTAGTACATGGGATGCAACTTGAAGACAAAACATGAATCTTGTTATGAAATAAGGCTTTTTAAATTATCCTGTTTCAGGATTTCTATACACCATGTTAAACACTGAAGCCATTAAAATAGTATTTTAAATTCATTAGTCTGAAATATTCTGCATTTACATTATGCCACGACTTTGGGATTTTTAGCAGCATGTAAAATGACTGTGTAATTATTGGATAGTGAAATAAATCATATATTTATGGTCAACTTTTTATTTAAAAAAAATCAAAGCTTGGCTAGTTTTATTCAGCAAGGATTGCAGCACAAACTGTTCTGTTGAATTTTTCTTGATTAGTAACAAACATTTATGTCAATAAACCACCACGTAGATAATGTGTCATTAAAGATCTGACCTTTCTACTAGTCTTAAGAATGGAAAGATATTTCTTCTGAAGAACAAAATTACAATAACAATTTGAAGTAGATAAACTACAAAAAATTGAAGAAAATAGACTTCAAAAATACCTTCTAGTTTTCTGATGCGTGCAGCCCTAATATCAAGAAGATGGACATACTTTTCCAGTTTTAACTCATAGTCTTTCTGTAGACTTTCCATCTTGTGTGTCACAACTTCAACTTCAGTCTGAAAAAAAATTGCATGGAAAAAGGACCATTGAGGCCTGTCTGCATTGATACTGCACGTGCTTTTGGCTACAAAGACAAAATGTATTTAAATTTGAGAAAGAGCACTTGGAGTATGCAAAAATGGCAATTTTAAATTCAGCAACACAGAGATCAATTCATTTCAGCAAAATTAAAAATCCTTATTAAATAAAATTGACTAGCTATTCCTTCAGGACAATGTTTTAATGTTTTTTGTTGTTGTTGTTTTCCCAATTGATTGCATTATTTCCCAAATGATTGCAATCATTTTTCCAAAATGATTGCATTATTTTACAATCAGATTGATTGAAAGAAAAGCCAAAATATGATCTGCAATAAGCCAACAGGAGAGAGTGAAAGCAGAGCGTTGTGGAAAAGGAAGCTTATTTGATAACTACACTTACTATTTTGCCTGTGAAGACGTGATAAGAGCTCAGAAATAATCCCAAGAAGGCATGTGTTTGAGGTTTCTAATCAGGGCGAGTTAAAAGACTGATGTTACAGTCATTCGGATCATTTCAACATTAACAAATCTTATGTTAGGTTACTTACAAAACTGACTGCTTTTGTTGATGCAATTTGCAAGCCTTAATTACGACTTCATTTTTTCCTGAAGGAAAATAAGTTCCAGTGCTACAAATGTTAAAATGTAATTATCAAGATATTTTCCACTGTGTGCAGAGTTTAGTACCTGGTAATCTTTGTTAATTTTATGCTGTACAATTAACATATTCCTCGTCTTTTCAAGTTCTTGCACTGTTTCTGCATGTGTTAATTGCAGCTCCCTCATTGAGCGTTCCAAATCTTTATTGATATCATCATCTACTTTTTCCAAAAACATAAGGTCCCCATTCTTCTGCTGCTTTCGAACCTGGAGCAAATTTGAAAAGTTACTTGAACAAACTTTTGCAAAATATCTGGAAGTTTCCATGCTTGATTAAATACAACATTTGAATAAAATCTTGAGACAAGAATAAGAGTAAGCACAACTTTGCAAACTTTGAGCACAAGATAACAACAAATAGGAATGACATAGACCCATAGCTGTCCGACTTGCATTTATTAATGTAATCTCATGGTCATTAGGAACCAATTCAAATGTATGAAATATTCAGAAGCAATCACTCTTCCAATCCATTAAAAATAAGAAATCCTTAATATATTTATCTTTTATATAATTAATAAACCTGCTTTACTGAATGATCCGAACTTGAATTATTCCCAAGTCTACATTACTTCTGTTACTAATACTTGGGTTTTAATTTTGATTTTTTTTTCTTTACTTTTTTTCATTATCATTATAGAGTTACATTTAAGTAGCATAAAGTAGCATAGAGACTCTCCTACTGATAGTAAAATTACTGCAAATTATGGTAAAAACACGTTTATGAAAAATTAAATGCAAGTCATCAGAATAGTGGAAGCTTAAAGCACACATTTCTTCCTCCCCTGACTTCATTTTCAATTTTTATGTAAAGAATAAAACTACATCTTACATGCAAGAGAAAAAAAAGAAAAAACAAAAAAAAAACGTTTACTGGAAACTTTCTATTTCTGTTTTAGCAAATGCAGAGAGGTTGCTAAGTAGTTAACTGAGAGGTTGCTCTAACATATTCAGAGATTACAGGCTTAGAGTATGTTCTCTTATGCTTAGAGAATTAAAAAACAAACATGTTTTTCTTATCAACATTACAGGAAGAACTAGATGGTGTGATAACTGATTGAGAAAGCAAGGTTTGTTTTTTTTCGTTGTTGTTTTTTTTTTTTTTTAAATGATGCTTATGAATCAGGTTTAATTCACTTTTGATGTTATAATGAATTATGTACATAACTCTACATTTCATCCTGGCAATTTATTATTTTTTTTATCTTCCCTTCTGCTTTTTTTTTTTTTATCTTCTTTCTGCTTCACTGTAGCTGAAAAATGAGAAATACACATGCTTGAAGCATGAACTACTACAAAATAATCCAGCTCTTGAAAATCCAAAGAACTGTGTAGAAAACAACTAATAATAAACCAAGAGCTTATATATATATACATATATATACATATACATATATATATATAAATTCTTTCTAAGTTACCTTTATAAGCAAGAGAGCTTCATTGAGTTCTGTCGCATCAACATCGCTTTCCTGAAACAGAAATACTCAATGAAAAGGTGATACCAGATGTGAAGGAATATTGAAGAATTATATTCAGAGTAACAAGATTCTCACTATACATGACACTGTGCTTGATATCATGAATAAAACGATGCAGTTGTATTTCTGTATTCTTTTACTTTCAAGAACTACTTACACTATGCATGAAACATAGGAAAAAAAAAAAGAGAGAGAGATTTCACCTTGGTCAAACATTTCATGTGATTTTTCAGTTCATCTAGTTGTTGCTTATTTTCCAGATAGCATGTCTGCAGGTCTTTGTTCTCTTGCATCAGCTTTTCCTTTTGGTCTAACATAGAGAAATAACAAAATATTCTGCTTAATTCAACATAATCATAAAAATTATAAGCTTACCTTTTCATATTATCTTATGTGTAAAAACTTAATTGAAAAATAGAGAATCTCATCTATTTTTTACAGGGAAATCTTTAGTATTAACCAACAGGAGGAGGGGGATAGGAACATGGTCTTTGACCTGATAGATATGTATAGATGAAAAAAAAAACAACAAAGCATTCTTCCATTAAAACTGAGCCTACAGCATCAAAAATCTACACTCAAAGTATGACTTCTCTGGGTTTCTGCTTCTGGGGCAGGTGTGGGGAAAGAACATAGAAGATAGCAAAACTTGTCAGCCTGAACGACTAAACACCATTAAACTTCTCAGTTGAAAGTTGAAGAGACTTCTCACTAATGCCTAGCTGCTTCCACAGCGACATCTCAAGAGCCTCGAGGAGAAATTTGTCTCACGAGAGGAAAAGAATAATCAAGGATTAGACCAAAAAATGTAGTTAAAACTTACTTTCTTCCACACGGAAAAGTTTTAAAAGCAAGTTCACCTCAAAAGCACTGAACTTTCTTTGGAACAAATGTACTCTCTCCTATCCACTCTCCTCCCCCAGCCAAACTCCTTATTCTCTTGACAACGTTTTTCTTATTTTTTCTGTGCTTTTTTTCAAAGTCCCAAAGCTGTATTCTTATGCAATGCACTTAAATACTGTGAATTCATATTCTAGGTCAGAATGATACAAATGTTAACTGTCAACCTGAATTGCAAGTATTAGGTTTTCTAATTCCCATCTGCTCTAGTGGGATTTGATGGGTAGAACACTACATACGAAGTTGAGAATATATTCTACTGCTTTCAACAGAATAGTGCACAGTATCATTTTAATGCTGGAATCTTTTCTGTTGACCCTCAGGGCATAATGCACAACTTTGCTACTTTCTACAGAATAGCTTTTCAGTTTTGAGGATTGAACTCAGTAAAACACAGGTGGCTGAGATTTTAGTCTCAAGGGTTTGGGAATGTTTCTAAAACTGACATCAGGTTAGTTTTAATTTTGCAGAGTTTATATATAAATGACATCTTCACTGGAAATGAATCATCTGTAATGCCATTGCTCCTACACACAGTAGCCTTACTCATATATCTGTTGAGACTCCAGAAGAGTCACTTTCAATTCAAATACATACCAACCAGTAAGGTTTTAATTCTCTGCAGTCATGAGGAAAATGTAATGTATTTGTACAACTGAACTGAAGAAAATATAGCAAGAAACTTTAAGGGCTACAAATTTAAAAGCAAAGAAGAAAACAAAGTAAGCCTTGAGATTTTTTTCTTCGTTTTGCTGGGGAGGGAAGGGCAGAGGGGTGAGAGTTGCGAGGGAGAGGAGGAAGACTTTGATAGAAGATTGTGAAACACCTATCAGCTCTTGAGTCTTGTCAACTCTTCCATTCCAAATAATACACCCAGAAGACCTACATCTTTTTCTTCCCCATGGTGGGGTAGGGTGTACAGAAAAAGGGTTCCTCATGCTGATGTTGCTTTTTATCCCTGCAATATAAACTGAGATCTGAGCTGGCACTTTTACCAGGAATGAGGAGACAAGATACCCCCCTTCAGGTACTCCTATCTCATCTCCTGAATTTTCCAACACAAGCAGAAAGCTCAGTCCACTCTTTTTCTCAGATCAACCACAGTGAAGCTTTTGTAGATATTTTTAACATCGATTCACACTTGCTGCTTAAGAAGTCAACTTCAAAACTGTAATTTCTCTAAAAAGGAAACTAGCTTTATCAGAGCTTCTAGAAAACACCCAGAAAAAAATAATATGCATTAATTTCATGCAGCAGATGACTTTCCAGCTGTTGAATCACGCTCAGCTAAAAAATGCAGACTTGAAGCTGGACAACACTGGTTTTAGGTTAAACACAACAAAATAATAGCATATGATGTGCATAAAGGGCACTCACTATATATTACAAATTCAGAGGTAACGTGAAGCTGTATAACAATAAGGGAAAAAGTGAGGTGTAGAAGTATCCCAGCAAAGTGACCCAAAGTCAATCCTAGCAACATCATCATCATCATATTCCTCCCAAAGGAGGACTCCACAGACTGATGACTTAAGGTGTTATCCTCTCCAGTAATCCAAATCTACTCACTGTTAAATCCAGAAGAGCAATACAGAAGTAAGTATAACTTGGAGAGGGAACAAAAATGTAGGAAGTGGCCACACGTGTTACAATCCAATTATATTATTATTGAGACTTTTTTTTCTGTACAGCAGTACTCTAACTGCATTATTATTCTTCTGCTTTTGTGATAACCAGAGTAGACCAACCATCAAGATTTCTGTTACACTAACAATAAAATACTGGATTGTAGCTGTATGTGTCGGGTGCATTATTAAACAAGATTTTCAGTGTAACAATGGGGCTATCTATTCTGATTAATCCAGCTGAAGTATGAAGTCATAAGGACATAAACAGATTCTGTGGGTGAGATCAGGAAGCCAGCAGGGAATGCTCTCTAAAAACAAGACAGATGAAGAGCTGCATTCTGCCGAGTTGATCACAGATAGGGTGTCCTTTGGGAACCTGGGAAGAGAAACTTCCTGATGCAGTTTCTAAAAACCAAATGCGGTAATTTCAACAGCTCTTTCAACCAAAACGGGCCAAACTCTCAAACCCCTTCTTGCCTAGGATTGCCTTCTTGGTTAGCCCATGGAATAAAACCGGAACTGTATTTATGCTGAAGGGTGTGGAGTGTTTTTTGTTTGTTTGTTCTTAGGTTTTATGGACAAACACTACCTAGAGAGTGCAATATATTTTTTACTCTTATTTCACATGTCATTTTTTACTGACAGACAGTAAGTATTTGTCCATTAAGACAACTTAGGGCTAATTTTTGCAAATTCTTGTTGTAATCCAGTAAGATATTTGAATATTTTATCTGGTATTTGAAGTCAGTAGAACTAGTTAGAATCTTAATCTTAAACACATGCTGAACTTGAATCATAATCATAATAATTACTTACATGTCTACCCACTTCATTCTATTAAATTGTTCACGGAAGCATGCTACCTTTCAAAAATACACATTTGAAGAAACAACCACAAAAATATTTAGTTTACTTCCTGCCTGCGCTCTTCATGTAATTTTTTTTGGTGGCACAGTATATCACAGTATAGAGATAAAAAAAGATGGCAAGGTGCTGAACTTTCCCTGAGAAGTTGTTCTACACCATGGGAAAAACACATACGAAATTATCTGTTGGGAAGATTAGAACAAAACTATACTATTGTATATGTTTACAGCTGTAAGTAAAAATGTGTGTACACTGAAAATACCAAAACAAAACAAAACTGAATTCACAAAGTTGAAAGGCAATTAATCATCTTCAGGTGCCTATACAGGTTTCATGTACCTTTGTGCAATAAGTGAGATTAGAGTAGCAGCATAAAATTTGAAAGGGACTGTCAGACGGTCTTCTGTCTGTAAGAACTTGTAATTTAGACAAAAGGAAAAATACAGAATAAAGGGTAAAAATTCACCCAACAGTTGAAGAACTAATGCAACTGGAATTATAGGATCTTCATTCAGCACATAACCTGTAGTGGGTCAGTTTTTGTACTTAATGACTAGTCATTACTTAAGCACATTATTCATTGTACTCACAAAGGACAGCTTTGAAATCACTACCACCAAATGAACCACACTTTTCTGTGGAATATACCCAAACTCCAACATTGGAGAAACTCACATCATAAGAAAATGATAATTATTTCAGAATTGTACCTCTTTCTACTTTGATCTTGTCAAGGATTTCATTTTTGTCTGCTAAATCAGATTTGATAGCACTTTCTAGTTTAGCAATTCGCAGTTTCAGTTGCTCTTCCTTTAATTTCCATTGCTGTTCGTGGGTCACACTGAAGACACTGCAATAAAACATGTGGCATGTGAAAAACTTTTAGAGATCAACTTCAACAGAAAATAATAAAGAAGAAAGCTTTTAGTGGCACAGAGACCACTGTCATCATGTCTTAGGAATTAAGTAAACATATGCTGGTCTGCTGCTGTTGAAACCAAGGCGCCTTTCTCAGGCTGCGGTTAAAAAACATGAAAGAGTTTGTGGGATGAGCAAAGGAACTGGCCTTAATTTAGAGCTCCAAAGTCAGAAAAGTTGGCAGCATGCAACATTTGTGGGACTAGAAAAGGAATTCAGATGCATATCCCAGAGTAATCCACAACTCCAAACCTCAGCAACTGACAACTGACAAAACCATTCTTTCCGCATACAAAACCTCTTAATGCAGAGAACTGGGATCACCCACCTGATTTCTTTTAAATCTGTGAAAGATGCAGAGCCTAAAGTCAGCTGCCTGTTCAAAGAAACATTGACCACAAAGTGACAACAGTTTTCTCATACTGTAAAACAACAATTCTGATACTGATTAAGAAGCACATAAGAAATCTTTCTCCCACTTTAAGAAATAAAAAACGGATTTGGGTAAAGAAATTAGAGTAACTATTTTTCCTGTAACACATTATTTACTTGTAAACTACCAATCTGAGTACAGAACGGATGGCATGGACACAGAATCAGAACTGCTGAAACCACAACAAAATGTGCAACTCAGTTTGAAATAAAAGTAAGAACATTAAATAATTTACAGTACAATTCCCAGTAGGTAAAAAGACAAAGCAATGCAATGTGTTTTCCTATAATTTATACAGTGAGTACTATGGTCTTCAAATTATTATTATTCACTAGTTGCATTCTTAATGACTGGAATATATCCTTCATCTTAACCAGTCACAAACCAGTTTATTCACTCCTGCATTTCCTGAAAAATCAAAAATGGTAGCGTATTGTTAATGAATGAGTCAGTCCCTCGACTACATACGTTGGTGAAGGTCACTGATTAAAGAAGTAACTTTGATTTTTGTACATCTTCTGATACATACCTATCTATCCATCTATCTATCCCAGATGTCCATATAACAAAAGCCACACACACACACACACACAAGCCACACAAGAAAGAAGGAAAGAAATAGGGTAGAAGAGATGGCCCAAATAGATGGTACACTGTACATGCTGACTGAAGAGAACTGCCTGTTTTGATGACTATGATTATATAAAGTGGTTTTAAGTATCTAAAAGTGAATTTATACCTAATATATTTGAAGAATGACCTGCAGATTAAAGAAAAAATATTCTAGCATGAATTCTTGACTCTGACATATTTGGTAAGAGTTTATATTCTTGATTTGAAATCTTCATAAAAACAGTCCCATCTCTCTGAATTTTCTTTTTCTCATCCTGTATCTGGTCTAATCTATTTATACAGTTCTGTAAGCACATACCACCTTATAAGGTGATAATGTATCTTTTACAGCATGAACTTAACCAATGCTTCTAGGTCCTACAGTAACATATATTTCACTCTGCTGTGCCATAATTTTGAAGATAATGCAGCAAATGTAATGCATTGAACCCACAATCACATTGATAATACTGCATTGCTACAGAAGAGACTGCGTGCTCTACAGTTGCTTAGACTTAACATTCTTCAAAGTTGGATTGGCTCCGAGAAGGAAAGAATAAATCTTTGTATGACAAGATAAAAAATACACTTAGTTTTCACATTTCATATTCCTGAAAAAGTTTTCAAACTGTAATTACCATGATGTCTAGTTGTATGTGCATTCACTACCTTTAGGCAAAATTATTTCACATGCAGCTACACATTTAAAAATGTGTACAGTTTAAGAAAAACAACCAAACAACAATGGCAGAAACATCATTAACAGCTGTTATGATAGTAATTCAGAGTTTAGATACTTAAATGAAGAACAGTTTAGGCAACAGGTTTTATCCAAACCTATATATTGAAAATGCTTTTAACAGATTGAATCAAGTCCACTCCTGCCTCTTTTCTCCTTCAAATTTTAAGATTACTTTTACTTGAATTCATGTGGAATTTCTTTCACATTTACTGTATTTCACTGGAGTCAGAGACATCTGGGTAACTATAAATGGTCAACCACATCTGGCACCATTTCCTTTGGAGGGAGTTTAAGCATTGCTAGATTTGCATTACAAGGTCATATGAAAACAATTCCTCCAAATCTTTTATCCAAACGAATTGTTTTCTTGGATACTGACTACATAATAAGAGTCAACTGACAAATTCGTACTTGTTCTTTGTAAACTTTTCAGATCCAATTCTCAGCCTTGACTGGCAAAATTCCCATCAACTTTGAAGGGAATTTCCATTCTCAAGGAAAGGGTTTATGCCTTTTCCTTTCCTCAGGAAAAAAAAAAAGTTAATCTGTCACCTGCAGACACTGGCCTATCCACTGCTAGCAACAGGTAGGCTGCAGTAAGCTCATGTTGTTCAAATGGGAAACAGAAAAAGCTGGCCATTAAACAGTAGACAAAACAAAATGATCTGATTCTCTTTCTAATTTCTTGTTGTCTATATGCCACCATGGAATGATAAAGCATAAATCAAGTTTAAATAGAGTATATGATAAGAAAATTTTAGGGGAAAAAAAGCCATATTGAGGATCACTGGGTTATGAGAGAATCATATTAAATTACTTATTTAAACATCCTTATAAATTATCTCACTATAATTTAAAAAGAACAGAACAATTCAAGACAGGATTATAATTGATATATTTAGTATGAATTATTTCTTTGTGTAACGATATAGGAGAAAAATCATGGTATTATAACATCAAACTTTGGAGGAATCTATAAGAAACTTAAGCAAGGGACAACTGACCAACCTCCCCTATACACAACATAAATACTGTGTTTATACAGTTGTTGCAGCTCATATTTTTAAAATAATTTAAGCTACCTGTACTCGTATTTTTTTGCTAATATAATGTTTAATTTCACAATAGAAAGTACAGAAAGTATAATAAATATAAGAATCCCATAAACAACATTTGATATCGCTCATATTGTGTTTACTGTTTTTTTTGTTTGTTTGTTGTTTTTTTTGTTTGTTTCTTTTTGTTTTTTGAGACATCACACTGACAAACCAAACAAAGATTAAGAGGAGAAATTTTGACATGAAAAAAATAATTCAAGCTTTCTGACCTACTTTCATAGTTAAATTTCTAGGAAATTTCTAACCCTCTTCAGTATAAGAGGCCACATTGTTTTAAAATATACAAAAAGGTCATTTTCAAGGTCATTATTTCCTTGATAGTTGATTAGAACAAGCATATTAATTTAATTCATTTTTTTGTACCGGGGAATTTCTGAATCTCATCTGTCAACGCACTTCCATTTTCACTATAAGCAGCAGTTACACCAATACTATTTATTATGTATAGGAATCTTCGAAAAAGATTACATTAACCTATGCAAAAACTCTGAGCAGAACCAGCATAAGCAAAATGGTAACCATTACTAAATCAAACAAACTACCTCTCAAAAATAAACATAGAAGAAGATGTCAAATATCAGACTTTAGATCCACTCAGAAGTACTGGAAGAACTTACACAAACAGGTCAAACAACCCCTCTTTCCTAAATAAAATAAAATAAATTAATACTGAAGAAGTTTGTCTCTCCTAGATTTATCCTTCTATCAACAGGACTCCCGTCCCCCACAAAAAAAAAAAACCAAAACACTATTAGAAATTCACAAAGTAACTTCTTGGCTTCATTTTCAAAAAAACGCTATTCCTACTTACATTTTAATTAGAATTTTTTTTTTCTAAGTGATGTACTATCTCAAGAGTATTAGAGCAACAATGGGAGCTGCTCCATTTCAACAGAAGAGGTGAAATACAGGCAAAACATCTTTAAATTTTCCATATACGCTTATTGATAATAGGAATTATAGTATGAATATATTTGAATGTGTACACGTATACACTCAACATGCATATGCACATGCATATGTACCCAGCCTATGAAGAACTAAACAGAACACAAAATCCCATTTTACATTTAAAGAAAACATTTAAAGATTTACATTTCAATATTTACCTGTTATACAGCTTATCATAGTTTTCCCTCAAGAGTTCCTTCTCTTTTTCCAGATCATTTATTCTTTCTTGTAACTAAAATGAAGAAAATTTCAAGCACAAAAAATAGTAAACAAATAGCAAATATAAAATTATAATGAATTTATAAAGATGATTAATTAATACTTCGTAAGCATTCTCAAGAAGACTTTTATTTGTTCTTTTTATGTAACAGTCTCTTAGAAGCTGCAAAATAACACTTTTTCATCACATTATATAATTTGGCCAAGACAGGCTTTTTCACGTAACATATATGAAGTTGAGACTAATGTATGTGAACTGAGGAAAAAGAGTATATAATTATATTGTCTTATGTGAAAAAAAAAAAAGGAATTAAAAATACTTAATTCAATTTTGCTCATTAATGGCTGCAATATGTAAACATTGTTTTTATTGACCACACACAGGCAACAAGCCCTTATTTTCAAAACATACAATAAAGAAAGATATGTTTTTAAAGACAGAAGATATACCTGATATGCATTACAATAGTGCAAAGATTACGCTATAATTAGGTTAGGCTTGTATTAGCTTGATTCATTTAAAATGCATTCAATACAGGTAAACCTAGTGGTAAAACTAAAGTTGCTACAAAATATAAGAAAAAACAAGTAAGTCTGTACACACTCTCCTTATATACAGAATAGAACGAGGAATAAAACACTTGGTTTTTGGCCCTGTATCTGAGTGACTGTTGGTGATGATACTTGCCTCCGGAATCCACTAGAAAAAGAAATAGAAATGACTGATTTGAACTATCATGTAAGATGTAATACTATGCTTTACCATGACTAAATCAGTTGAAATAACACTACAAAAACAGCAAAATATGATCAATAAATCAAGTATTAAGATTGCTTTCTGCTTAACACACTACTTGTTTAGTATGTGAAATCCTATGCTCTTCCTCAAGCATTATCTAAACAGGGGTGGAATGCTCATGTAGTGTGGGGGCCAGGTATGGTTCATGATTCTATGAAACACAAGCAGCAACCACAGGATTTTCTCTTTAATGGGAAAACAGTGTGTATGTTCAAGTGAGTCTTCTAAACATGTTTGAAAGGTCTATTCACATATCAGTAATAAAAAGATACCCATCCCATCCTTAATTTAGATAACATTTTCCCTTATCTATACGTAGTACCTAAAGCAGATTCTAGCTCTCTTGGATACAATCTCACCTCCTCTGTCCTTTGCTTAGAAATAGTCACTGCTTGCAATTCTTTTTCAAGATTCAGGCTCTTCAACCGCTCTTCTTTAAGCTGTAGATTTAGCTCATCACCTTTTGCTATTAAAGCATCATGGCTAGCCTTCAGGTTCCTTTGGTTCTATGAAAAGAAAAAGAAAAATTGGGATGAGGGAGTGGAGTGGGCAGGGGAGAAGATCACTCTTAGTAGAATATTACAACGTTGCATAAGCTATCAGTGATCTTTCCTGGCAGCAGTTAACAGATATTCCCAATGTGGTCAACAGGAGACACTCTTGACTAAGCAATCGAAAAAAAAATTTCATTACACATGGCCAGGAGAAGGTGGCATTCTTGTTACTCTCATGAACGTTAAACCCTCAGTTCAGTCATAATGAAAAGGACCAAGAAATACATCTGTTAAGCAATTAAAAGATTTTGCTGTGGTTACAGTGGTTAGACATGCTGACCAAAAACACTGCAGTAGCAAGCAGAAATGAATGTTGACCACAGTTATGTTAATCACAGAACTTGCCACAGCTCTGTTAACCCTTAGCTGTAGATATCTAATTTTTTCATAATCCTAACACGCTAGGCTGTATTTTCCTGCTAGCAGTAATTAATAAGGGAATTATGATTTCTTTTACATTTTAATTTACTTCAATGGATTATATTAAGGCACATTTAACCAATTTTAATATTAAATGGAGGATGCTGATTGAACCCCCATTTCCAGAATATTAGTTAATATTATACTGTCTGCATTTTGCAATGCTTTAATAATGCCTCATTAAGAAATTCAATGTAAAACACATTCTAAGTATGACTTGAAAAAAACAGCCTAAAAGCCAATCTCCTGTTTAATAAAGTGATTATATGGCAATTTATATGTCCAATAGATGTATGAGTATAGATAACATTTAATGATTGTAGACAGAAAAAAAAAACATTAGCTTCGTGATTTCCTTATAACATTCCTAGGAGGTAATTACATGGAGAAACTTCATGTGAATCCCGTGAAAATTGTTCAGGTTCATATGAAGTATAAACACTGTAGAAAAAAGCACACTAAACTACAGAAAACCCAGTCACCAACTTGATCTTCAGCCCCTCAGATCTCATTTCTCCATAAGAAAAATCTTACCGAGAGTAATATTACCAGTCTTATTTCAGAGAGATAGTGATGTATATTACTTATTAATTTTTCTCATCCTTTCTTCAGTGCTCCTCTTGCTGTAAACTGTATTTCAGTAACTTCAAAAAATGGCACCTTAAAAGTCAGTCTTACACTTCCTTCATTTCTGTACAAATTTCTTCATTTCCCCCTTGAAATCACAAGCCTTGCAGTCTCTAACCTTTCCAACTGTTCAAGTGAACTCATCTTTTCTTCCCCATCTCTCAACTTCATTTTTTTCACAAGTTCTTTTCCATTTTAATAACTTGTATCATTTCAACCCACTACATGAAGAAAAAAAATCCCACATCTTGGCAAAGCTGCCAAGACCATTTCACCCTTATCTCTTTCCTTGATTTCCCAAACAGATGAAAACACATTCAAAAATCAAGGTCTTGATTTCACCTTCTAACTGATCCTCAAGCTCTCCCGGTCAGTCCTCGAGGGATTTATATTATTGAAACTTCTCATTAACAGTCCTAGAAATGTCCTCCTGTAAAATCTCCTTGCTTCAGCTTCCTTCCAGTCCTTCAGTATCTCTGCAACTCTCCTCATGGATTTCTTCGTGAACTTTAGGGGAACCATAACTCCCCTTTCCTTCATGCCCCAGTACATTCTTTCTTAAGTTTTTCTATACCTGATTGTTCTTTCAACTCTTTTTTCCATCATGCCAAAATTGTTTTCTATCCATTCTCCCTTAAAATATCCAAAGACTCAGGCCACAGCAACAAATGGGTTGATGATTGTAGTTTAAGGTTTCTAGTCTAAAACTGTGTTTCTAAGGGAAATATGCCTCAACATGAAATAGCTCCTTTACCGAAAATGAAAATATACCTTTTAGAAATACTGCACAAATGAACACAAATGCTATTACATTTGTGAAATATTTGTACTGGTTATCCACGAGAACTAACTCTTCACAGTATTTACAAATTTAGTGGCATAGACTAGCATATCTCATATGACAAATCATGAAATCCTGGAATGTTCAGCCTGTAATTTTATAAATATGACAATGGAATCAAATATTTAATCCAAATAGTTTCGGGGTCCTTTGTTCTTCAATGCAGATTCCAAAATTCATTCATTTAACTGGCTACATTAAAATTCTTGAACAACAAAACAAGCCTGTAAATGTTTGCTCCTGAAAGATCATTTTAAATATCATTAAATGGAACAAGATTATAGGCTCTTATCATTCCACGGTTTCACAACTTTTGGGCTGACTCAAGTTTAATGGCAAACAGAGGCATTATAAATGTTTCAACTGGTACAAGCCAAAGTAAACAATAATGAACTCAACAGTCACGAAAATTGTAACATAAAACAAACAAAAACAGTGCTCTGTCAATAAGCATTTAAGTGACATCTAAAGTAGAAATTTTAGATTTTACAGTTATTTGTGTTTAGTAGATGCACATTTCAAACACTCAAATGACTGGAAATGGGAAAACCGTTGTATCCGTTATCTTGTAAAAATATGATGAGATAGAACACTCTCATTCTTTCCAAAAATGCAGCTTTCACTGTGAATATTAGAAACAATGTCTTCAAATACCAGTTTGAATCTCAGGCATCTGTTTCTATTCAGCTGCTGCCAAGAGAGGCACAAGAACTTGCTGTTCGCTGTATATTATCAAGAAGTCGCAAGTGATTTAGAATGGACCAGTTTACATATCATTTTCTATTTAAGAACACAAAAAGTTATGTGAAACCTGCCCTCCCTTGGAGTTTACATTCTACATAGTTCATAGTTCTGTGTAAAAATAGATTGAAACTACTAACAGAAGAACTGCTTTGGCAAAGGAGATATTAGACTGGGGGGAAAGAAGCGCAGAGGTAGAAGCAGAAAGACAGGAAAAGAGGAAGGGAGCAAAAAATCACATGACAGAAGTCTTGTTTATCACAGACAGGAAGAAGCAGGAACTGGCAAAAAGAGTTCTTTGCAGAAAAAAATAAAAATAAAAAAAAAGAACAAAGAAGCCATAGAACTTAAAACCGTAGAACATAGCAATAGAGCACAGAAGGTATGGACAGGAAGGTTTAAAATAGGAGGCTAAGGTACAATTGAGACAAATGTGGAACTGTAGGCAGCCTCCAATCCAGAAAGAGTAAGGAAGGCACACAAATAGTCTTCTTGAGTTCTTCTTGGGCAGGAGTGTGACCAAGGTTAGGATACATACTGTAATTATTTTAAAATAAATAAAGGCCTTTATTTTAAGTGTGATATTCCTGCCTCAATATCTTAGAATTGCATTAGGCATGAAAAATTTCTTTCTTGTTTTTTTTACAACTGCTATGAAATGCTGCTAGGGAGATATAACCACACTATTTGTTATCTAATCTTATTTATTTAATTAATTCTGTATCATATACCAGTAACTAAGCAGTTTCCATTCAAAATTTACTTAACTTTTAAAAAGTCACTTAAATTCTTATAGTTTCCTACTTCGAATTTTAATTTTCCCTTGAATCGCAAGTACAAAGAAATTGTGGATCCATAAACAGCAGTCAAAGAACCATTAGTAAAGAAAAAGAAATAGCAATTTACAGTAACAGTAAGAAAAATGTAACTTGTTTCCACTGAATTACATTATAACAATCTCAGATACAATCGTACATCTTGCAAATAACAAGGACATCTTGTGCTTCCACTTCATAAGGCTGAGATACTTTATTCAGCTCAGTTGCATGCAGGATTGTTACTCACAGGAACTCTGTGGTTGTTATTGTACTGCCTTTATATGCAAACATACATCGTTCTCCCATTACGTATGGGACAAAGCAGAAAAGCGCTGTATCAATAAAACCGATGCATAATCTGCCATGCAGTTGCATGTTCTGGTGACTTTTTTTTTTTTTTTTAAATAAATCTGGTGATAAAGAACACCTCTCACTTAAAGTAACCCTCTAAAATAGTTTCCATGAATTTATGAATACAAGTCCTAAGCTCTGAACTCTGAACAGCCAAATCTCAAATGGGTTATGGTACCCCTTCCTTAGGGAATCAGGAGTATGTTTAGATCAAATAATTAATTTATAATTAAATCAAAGCCCTCTTTGTAAAGGATCAGGCATCTCTTTAGACAGCCAAACAACTGAGGACATAATCTAACCCAAATCTACCTGGGATACTTTTGCAGATAACTATCTTCAAGACCTGCTAGAAAATTCTGAAAGAAGTTAAAAGAATAAAGAACCCTACACATCTGAACTAGTTTGGGTGTAATGGATCGTGCGTTTCATTTTCTTGTATTCAGTGCTGACTTTGAATCAAGAACCATGCATATTTATTTTCCATTTACGCATGCGTATGTGATGAGAGTAACGGAATGTTACTGACCAAATCCTAATTACCTCTTGAAGCTGGAGAAGTTTTCCTTCCATTGCTGAAAGTGCATTGCTTTTCTCAACCAGCTGTTTACGGACCTTGATCATTTCCACATTGTCCCGGATGTTTAGCCTTCAAAATTGTATTAAAGAGAAATGCACCATAAGCTTAAAGGTACAGAATGAGTTCTCTTATTATTTTTTTCTCGGAAAGTTGAATAGACATGTTTGTTGTACCATATCATACTGCATATTTCATCTATACAGGAAAACAACCCGATACTTGCAGAGATAATTTGTTTTCCAATCACTTCTTTCCCAACCTCCAAAGAATTTGGTACCAGTACACTACCATTTTATGGAGCTTTCTCTTACAGTTTAAACCTAACAAATATTGCTATGACTTAGCAATTTGCACTGGTAGCACCTAAAGAATGGTATTCAAACAAGTTGCACATTAACTACATGAAAATCACTTAATATGCACGTAGATTTTCTATTTCAGTACAATTCTAAGATTAATTTGAGAATGCACTGTTTAATAAAAAGGATGTTTAAAATGATCTGAAATTTAAATAAGTATTTGTTTCTGGTGTTTTCCTTCAGTAAGTCAAGGTAGATCCTGTTACTTTTGCAGTTTCTTCAAGTACAGTAAGAGAAACCATTTCTGATTTATATTAATATAAAGTCAGAATAAATCTTTAGCATTTTAAAGGTAATTTCTCTTCCAATATTTATCTGTTTTAGGCATGTTGGAGGAATTGTCACAATGCCATGCTGGACCAAAAAAATGGACTACAAAGCTTACACATCTGTAAACCAGCTGAGAATGTGAAATACTTTCCTCTTATTCTTTAAAATATCAAAGCCTATTGTGTTTTGGCATTGCCCAGTTAATTGTCCTTACACAGAAGATAAACATACAAACCTGTGATGTTCCCCAAGAAACAGCCCTAACACAATGCTAAGACAATCATGTGTCTAAAACATGTTATCTACATAAATTAAAGTTGTGGTGAGTATAGACAGCAGCACTGTCTCATGCTAGCTATTTAAAAGCTAATGTAGTGGCACGTTTTTATTAATCTTGTTCCACACATCAAACAAAAGACTCCAATGCCTTCAAAGGCTTTTTCTTTGACTTTTTTTCCCCCCTCCATTTTAAGCAGGGGGCTTTTTTTTTTTCCTTTTTAAGTAGAAAAAGGAGCAGATGATAGTGAAATTTATGATGTACAGATGTAAACCCCATGGCTCCTGACAATCAACATTAACTATTTTTTCAACAGTGAATGAAACACTACTTGATTTAAACAGGCTTTGGGTACTGATATATCAAGTAAATTATTCAAATTCAGAAGTAAAAAAATGCTTTTCAGAATCACAGAATATCCTAAATTGGAAGGGACCACAAGGATCATCAGGTCCAATTCCTTTTATTGCAATCAGTTCAATTCTTGCATCAGTATTTATCCCATGAAAGTACATGACAAGGAGCATGCTACTTAAGAACAAAATCACTTCAGATTTTGTGGAAAAGGCAAAGTTAATTGATGAAGATTACTTTGATTTTCTATAAATAAAGTCACAAAACAGAAGAGAAATTGATTATCTACACAACTTTCTCCTTCCCAGGTAGCTGATGTATTTTGCTCCCCGAACATCTTTCTAGATTTTCTAAAGGAGCTTAAAAATAGGGGGTTATAAACAGTTCTGATTTAATAGGTAGCACTACCTTTCTCTTATATAGGTAATATTTTGCTCAAAAAATACCAAAATTCTCTACAAAAATAAAGTTGTACTAAGACAGCTCATTCAGTATTTTCTTCACTGCCCAAAAAGTCTAAAATTCTGCTTCAGAACCTGAAGACATGTAGGTAGACCAGCAGAAGTTGAAAAAGAAAAAGAACTAGTGCCTCTTTTTGAGGCAACACCTTGAATCAATGTGCATACTTTGATTTTTATTTAGCTCTAGCATACCTTCTGCCACAAGTGCAGAAATAAGGAACATAAAACTCTATCCTTCCACTTCAGACCTCATCTTAAAGCTGGATTAAAAGCCTGAAAGTGAAGTTAAGAGAAAGTGACTCTTAAAAAAGCTAGGAATTTTGTTTGGGGTTAATGTCTGAAGTACAGTAAAGTGATGATCTCTTTTCCAGGCCTCTATCCTTTGGATTAAAAGAATAGAGTGGGGTCCCAATAATGGGCTGGGGACCAGCTGTGTGGAAATGGGGGACTGATAGCAACCTTCAGCAGAAGGAAACGATTAAGGAAAGGATCTTGACCTGCACTGTACAAATTTATGCCAGTAATTCCCAGATGGCTAAGCTAATAAAATTGAGGCCTAATTAAATCACATCTCTTGCATCTTGTCTTTACTTTCATATGAAAAGGACACGGATACAAAACTAAGACTGTTCTTAGAGAGTCCTGACTGTTCTATCAGTTGGGATCAGTGGCTCTCAAACTTTCTCCTATTCACATTCAAAACAAGAAAAACAATTACAAAAGTACACTTTTGTACACTATACTTTTCAGGATCACTTAGCCTCTATTTGGCAAAACAAACAAAAAGTTTCTAGGCTCATAGTTTTCAATCACAACTATACCACAGGACAATTTATGACTCTCAAACACAGAAATAAAAAACACAACATCAATATGCAGTACTCTTATTTTACAGTGCTTAGGAATTAATAGAATTATGTTGATTTACATTATGTTCTTTCCCTTACCTTTTATCCCTAAAAGGAAGTCAAACAAAGGAAGAAAAAAATTACCTTTTAGTGATACTTTTACATTGTAACTGATGGTATATTTGCAATAAGCGAAACATTAACAGGGCATTGATACCTCTAACATATATTATGTTCAGATTATCTAAATAATTATAAAGAAGTCTATATTCGTTTGCCTGGCCAAAGAGCTAATTACAAATGATAAAAACATGATCTTCAGAAAAACACGTTAAGCATAAGAAATCAGATAATGAAATACAAATTCAGGTTGTTTTTGTTGTTGTTGTTTAGAACAACAATTAGTCATTATTTAGAAAAGTCATGTATATGTTGTAGTCTCTCATCACAATATAAATGCAGAGGCTAACATGTTCCACTTTTTTGTCTGAGACTGCAAACACAGAAGTCATGAGTATGTCAATATGATACCCCTGCCCAGAAATCCAGAAATGTAGCAGGTCTAACTCCAAAGTCATGCTGCAGGAAAAAAAAAAAAAAAAAAAAAAAAAAAAGCAAAAGGAATGAAAAACTGATTCACAAATAAGCTTTTTCACTAAAAAAAAAAAAAATGTAAAGAAAAAAGGCAAAAATCTAAAAACCAGAAACATATGCAAATACCAAATACCTGTTTCACAAGTACATATCTGGGTTGGTTTTAAAAATGCCTTTTTGAAAGTACCATGAGGAATGAGTTATTTAAAGCTAGTTGCTTGCAGAATGTGATTATTTGGACTTAATGTTTTAACTTGCATGCTGTGTATCATAGACATCAAACCATGAGATTATTATGGTTTTGGCCATCTTTAAATTAAAAACACTCAAGCTAAATGCAGTTGAATTTTGTACTTAAGAAAATGTTTAGTCTAAAATTCACAAGCCAAGTTTCCCCCTCAAGTCAGAATTGTACGTTCCTGAAACAATCCCCAAACAATCTCTAATGAAATACTGAAATAAAGACTGACTGCAGATGTATACCAATAATCAACTTGAGTTGTACACTATAAAACAGCTAAGCTCTGTTATGTAATTCTTCTGTAATAATATAGAAATGGTAGTCAATGTTGGATGAGCAAAGATAGCTTTACAGTATTACTGGATTTCTTGTGCTTATGGGACTCAGAATAACTAGTACCTCCTTCCCTCACCACTGATAGATCAATGAATATTAACTGTGGCTGCTTCACTGCTTGGAAACTCCTTCAGTTATTTAAATCACAACAATTCCATAATAATGTAGTGGAATAAAGTATGTTTTCCTGAAGTTTGAAAGTGACATAAATACACTTCCACCAATCTTCACGTAGTACATGTATGTCCTTTTGGCACCTCACAGTTCCTAAATAAATACAACAGATTAACTGTCTTTGGGGAGTAACATACATACAAAGGAAAACACAAGGAAAAACTGCCAACTGTACAAAAATTTGAAGTCATAGGCTACAAAGGAAAAATAAGATGACCTTATCAGTCATCCACATTTCCAGTGTTCACATAGCAGTATTCCAATATTGATAATATCTTCTATGCTGATGCAAAGAATATTAGAAATAATAACTACCAAGAATATATAAATGCATTTGTCTAGTCAATCAACTACTTCAGACTTAACATAAAATTTTCAAGAAATATAGATAGTGAAAATAGAATCATAGAATGGTTTGGGTTGGAAGGGACCTTAAAGCTCATCTAATTTCAACCCCCCTGCCATTGGCAGGGACACCTTCCACTAGAAAAGGTTGCTCAAAAAATCTCCTAAAGATAATCCTAAGTACTTATGATTACAATTAAGCTTAAAGAGAAAAGCATCCAAGTTATGGCTGTCGTTCATTCAGCATAAAAAATATAACAAAAAACACGGGGATTAACAGTCTTCCATGAACTATTCTAGCAGTGAACTTGCGGAACGCAGATTATTCTGGATATTCGCTAGTGGACATTTTTCAACTTATTTCCTTGACTCTTCAGCCAGATACAGTAACTCTTAAATAATTAACGTATGTGTTATCAGGTTTCAATCAAGAAACAGACTACAGAGGAAGTACTTCCAGATTTCAAATGTAATCACAGATAGTTATTTAGGTCAAGTATCATGGATTGCACACAAGTAATTTGATAAAAAATAAGGATCTGCATTACTTTACACAAACTAACTGTATATGAAGATTTTTTTAGCTGAATTTTGAAGTGGACCTTTCCTTTAAAAGACCTTAAAAATTCCCAGCAATATGACAGTGACTTGCAATTTAGAACTTAAGGCATTTCTGGCTACTGTACTTAAAGAACAGTGTTTATCTACAGAAAATGAAACATATTAGTTCTTCCAAAATTTTATCAGATTATTTCCAAACAATGAAATTTTAAAAATATGTATTTTCCAAATAAATTGTTGACACAGACTGAGGAATTTTTTATGATAACTTCTTTAACCTATTTAAACTATATGTTATAAAGGGAAGTCAGAACAGTAGAGACTTACAACTTTATGAATAATTTAATAGCAACATTAAGATGTATTATTTATGTAGCACCACAGATGCACAAAAGAATGCTCACACATAATAAGTCTCTCCCTAGAAAGCCAAAACTAACCATGCATTTCCCATCCAAGTAAAACTTTCATTGACATCTAATGAGGAAGGAACACGGGACTGGGCCCTATTAGATCCTTAACACAAAAAGTCAAAATTGAAACAGTAAAAAGAGGGGAAAAACAGGTCAAGTCACATAATTCTGCATAAATTTTTGTGAAAGTTAAAGAAGAAAGAAAAAGAGATTAAACTAACGGATACTCTTCCGTGAAAGATTTCACAAAAATGTTCACATGGGTTTGTTTCACTGCACAGCTATACTATATTCCTTTAAATATGTGCTAATCTATCTTTACAGGGCTCTTATTTTTCTACTGTTACAGACTCCAAATTATCAAGGAATATTAAAGAATATCCACTACGGCACTACATTTAAAATTTTCTGAGACTTGCATTGAAGAACTGGTAGATGAATTTAATGAATTTAACTTCAACTATAACTGAAAATTAATTTTCTAAAATGGTAATTACGAACTGATTCATCTATTTGCTTTAAAAAACAACAACAACAAAACAAACAAAAAAAATGCATTATCATAATATTATTATTAGAATTAACCACGGTCATTTGGTAAAACATAACTTTCATCAAAGAAAAAATACAGCATGTATTCTTAGAGGAATAAACGTCACAGCTGTCTGTAAACATTCTGATATAGTTCTTCTAATGCTCCAACCATGGAGATTTTCATTTTTCATAATACCTTTGGCTTGCTGTTTCTTGCTCCTTCAGCTGTAGGATAGATTCTTCAATCTCCTTTTCTTTCTTTCTTAGCTGACTCCCAAGCATCTCTCTGGCATATTCTAGCTCCTCAATGTGTTTCTTTTGGGAACCAATCACAATTTCCCTGTAAATACAAGTATCTTATGTTCCAAAACCAGATAAGCATTTATAAAAGAAAAAAAAATAAATAAATACTTGAGAGAGCAAAAATCTCTCGAGTTAAGTGTATGGCAAAAAGTTGTATTTCTTAAAGACATGCCTCACAATAGAGCTTTAAGAGTTCAACTTACAATGAAAATAGAGTCAATCATATGAAAACGTGTGAATAATCCTATAAATAGGTAAATGATTCAAACATTAGCAAACACAACACAAACAATAACTTAGTGCTCTTAAATATATAATAAATAAATAACAGTATATGTGGGAAATATATAATAAATAAATAACAGTATATGTGGGACTAAATGTTTTCATACATTTAGCAGAACCTAGTTTAAAACATCATTGATGGTTTATCATACTCTACATTAAATGCATGTTCCTCCTAATCAAAAGGTACCAAATGTTTTCTGGAAATGAAAGCATCATTACTAGCTATCAAAAGCATGTGAGATCTACAATGGATTAAGCAGTGAAAACAAGCTTTTATTCTGAGTTAGGTGACAGAAAACAATTCAGATGATGTGCCAGTGAATTTATCCATTAAATGCAATTAAAAAAGGACAGAAAATTAGAGCCAACAGGGGCTGAATATTTTTATCAGGCCACAACTTAGCAATTTTGATTTTCTTGATGAGTTAATCTCGGCTATCTTCTCTAATAGCATTTTTTGTAATAAGAATAATCAAATAATGTATAACTTTTTCCGCTCTGAAGCTTTTTAAGCATAAGCTACAGTTCTTCATTATCTCATGTACCTATCGTAGATGTAAAAGTATCTTGTAGAGTTTTTGGCCACGTATGTGCTCTTGTACTTGGGTGTTCCACTCTAACGTTAAAGTAACTGTGGTTATTTTTTCCATGCATAAACTGAAATCTCCAAAAATATGCTGTTTGAATGTTTTCTGCATTATAACACAATGTTTTGATGAGTCTTACCACAGTGAGAGAATAATTATTGTGAACACCTAGATTCCTGCAAGTCTTAATTGATAGCTCTTTTTTACCTGGTCTTAGAGACATGTATAGGAGAAAGAGCCACTTCTGTGCCCATCTCTGTAAAGTTACTAAAGATTTTTTCATTAGCAATATACAAGTATAAATTACTTAAAAAGTAAATTTTAGCTGTTCAACAGGGGTTAAATTCAGAGACAATGCTAATACCAGCACAATTTAAACACTAGTAAATTCCATTCTATCAATGAAATTTTGCTTCCACGGGCTTTAGGGATTAGAATGTCAGGACAGTGAGGGAGAATGACAACCAAGAATCTTCTTTAGTACTTAAGTTAGATCAGAAGTCTTAAGTACTTAAGTTAGTTCAGTCTAAGTCTTAAGTACTTAAGTTAGTTCAGAAGTCTTAACTTCTGAAGAAATACATTTTTTCTTCACGAAAACCACAAGTTCTAACAATTATATTAACAGAAATTTAGAAACAAATATCATACAGATTTCGTATTTCAGCCCTCGCATCCTCAAGCAGAGTCTGGCCATTTCTTGGGAGAAAAAGGTGAGGTGATCTCACTTTTAAATCCTGAAATCTCATTCCTGAAAAGAAAGAAAAGGGAAGTAAGTTTTTGCAACAATGAAAAGCATTTTACAGGAAACAATCCCTATATAATACAAACACCCTATACAGATGCCATAAAAAGCATTTTACATGAAATTCACATAGAGATCAGAGTATCTACAACCACAGCTGCTGTAAAATTTGAACTACAGGTAATACAGTAAGCACTGTTAAAGTGAGGCGTTAAAATGGGTCTTGAAATACTTAGGAGATTTTCTTTTAAAAGACAGAAGTGAGGTGGTATCTTCAAAGAACAATTACAACAATATAAAAAAGGAACACGGACTTGTAATCACTTTTTTTCCGATTGCACTTTCTTTACAAAATCACAATAAGAACGTCATTTACCTAGAGAAGCAACTACAGAACCATTTTTAACAACAATGCAAATAATTTCCTTACATTCTTCAAAGACATACTAAGTTGCTTGTGAAAAACAGTGCAAAATTGCGTAAGGATGAACTGTTAGTTCAGCAACAAAATCAATGGTTTCCCCAAATCTCTTTCTCCTCCTCCTTTTTCCTCAGCACAAAGAAATTAATGAAGTGTTGAGGGGGAAACAAACTAGGCATTAAATTTCAAATACAACATCAAAGCTGCCATCCTTCAGGCCCCATAATTGAGTCACTTACGTTCAAGGTACAACACTAGTAGTATGTTATGAATACTACAGAAAATATTCTCTGAGCTTCTGGAAGACAAAACTACCATGCCCAAGTTCTGTGTCCAATAGGCATTGGTTACTAGATTTTTAATAATAGTCTTCACCTTAGAAAAGGATGTTCAAGAAACAGCATATTCAAATTATGTGTCAGTGCTCCAGCACATCAGAATCCCTTCTAGACTGGGCAATGTCCTAGAACTAAGAGAGATACACTAGAATTTCTGTAAAGTTTCTAAAAGTTACTATCTCAGCTCATTGGTCTGTGAACATCTTATCTTCTTTCTTTCCTCCCTTCATGTTCTCCCTAGTTTGAGAACCACAGGCTGAATCAGTATGGCCTGAATCCTAGTTTTGCACAGGACATCTTTGATCTGGATCTGTTCTTATGCCAAGACAAATCCTTACAGCATGCCACATCAACATTTGTTCTGCAATCCTCAATCCTGCCTGTCTTTCCCTGTTAACACTGGGCCTGAATAAATTTATTTTATTTCCACTTTATCTTTGCACTGTTTAAGGAAAAAAAAAAATCTTAGGGAATAAAAATGCTTAATTTGTCATATGAAATGTAAAAATACAGGTATATTTAGAATGTCAAAACTTTCAATTATATTTAAATTTGAGGATCGAAGTGCTAGAGCTCATTGCTTTTCATTAACTGTCGAAAAACATATTTATTGTTTCTGATTTTGGCTACCTGAATAATCAAAATAACCCAAATAAAGGCCATTAGGAAGGGTAGTTGGAGAAAAATGCAACATAAATGGCCATCAGCCTAATCCATTGCTTGTAGAAGTTCAGGAGACAGTTCTGCTGACTGAATGTTTTGAATCCAGGCCAACATAGCTGCCTTTTTTTTTTTTTTTTTTAAACCCAAGTCCAACTTCTTCTACAAATGTTCTTATGAAAATAGAAAGATTTTAAAGTGCAATTTCCAAACATAGTTATCAGAAATAAAGGATTGAGAACGATGCTGCCTTAAGCAGTAAGTCTTGACAGCAAAAGGCATCATTAATGATGGCTGCATTGTGCAATTTGCCTTCAGAAATCCACACATAATAGATTTTTCAAAAAGTGTTGTGCACACATGTATCAACAGACTAGAACAAACCTTGGAATTAAAAAGGAAAATCACGTGCAAACAAACTACAGATGTAAAACTTTGTTATAACATGATAATGCTAAACTTTTCCATATAATACTTTTATAAGCCTTTAAGATTCAGAGAAATCATACTGGAAAAGTCCCACAAAGTTAACTATTTGTAAACTAGTTTGATAACTCTTTATTTTCAAATTTGTATTTGTTTTACCCCTACTGTTGTGGATTCTCGAAATAAGGACTTAAAGCACAAGAACACTATCATAACTGCTACAAATACATGAAAAAGGGGGGACAATGATGCCTACAGATACTATTGCCCACTGATGTTCAGAAAAGCCCATGCAGCGATAATTGGTGTTACATGTATAAAATACTATCATTAATACATATGAATATACCTTTTTTTGGGTGCTCCAGCATGCCAGCAGCATCATTCACTTTTTTGAGTCCCGTGTTAATACGAGATTGAACATGGTTATATGAATTAGGCCTGTGGCCTTGGATCTGGAATTGCTGTTTGGTTGAAATGAGCTTGCCACGGAGACTCTCGTTTTGTTTCTCAAGCTCACGAACTCTCTCTTGCAAGCGCTCAATCATTTCTTCCAGCTCCACAGCCTGACCCAGCCGCTTGGGGCCGCCACCAACCTGCTCAGACTTTTTTTTATCATTAACAAGCCGTATTAACTTGGTGGCCATTCTGGGGAAAATAATAAAAAAAGATGAAAAAGAATGTGAAAAGTCAGCATAAAAAGCATTCTGTTGAAAGGAACATAATCACTGTGAAGACTTCAGCATAGAACCTGAATAATAAATTTCAGGTTTTGATATAACTATTACTGCCTGTGAAGAACTCTTTGAAGATAATTGAAACCACTGTGCAGCAATCTGCTTTATAGCACTGACAAATAACAGTTTCCTAAGGCTTATCATTTAAGGTTAGTAAAGGGAGGACACATATTTACTCCATATGCTCCTTAAATGTAATTTTTAATGCATGACCTTATATAGGAACTTCTGCAGGCTGTTAAGTAAAGTTACAGATTTTGGATGTGGTGGGCCAAACAATAAAAGCTACAATTCCACAAAACATCCAGTTATTGAAAGAATGCTAATAATATACAACATTCCAATGATGTATCAGTTACAGCATTTTAGGATTTAAATATACATTTCAGTTCTAAAACTGTTAAAATGTAGAGGTGGAGATATTTAAGAAGGTACTCAGGAAAAAGACTTAATAGTTCATATTACTGCACTCAATTTTATACTTGGTAAGTATTACCAATGTGTTTCAGAGAAGGAACAGTTAGCTGAAGAATAAAATTAGATACAGAGGGTATGGTTTTCATCTATCTTTAAAAGGATACAAATTTTGCTTTTGGCATCTCAAGAATTGTACCTTTGATTTCCTTTAGTTTTGATAAACATTGCTAAGCTAGAACAAAAGGCAGAGAGGGCACATGGAGGTGATGTAATATACAAGAACAGAAAACATACCCAGCAGTGAATGGAAAAAACTTGGCATATAAAGAAAGAAAAGGTGGCTTTGATGAGAAAGACAAGTTCAAGACTTTACAAAATTGGTCGCACATCTTCGACCTGTATCTAGTTTACAGGGAATCTATTTTTGCAGGCCCAGAAAGAAAATTGAAAATAAGGACACACTTCATTTGTTTAAAGAGGCTTGTTTTATTTTTGTATACTTGTGGACAGAAGCTTCTACTTAAAAGAACAAAAGTGAAACAAAAAAATCTGTAATAACTTTAGGATGTCACAGAACATTACTTGCCTGTAAGCAGTTTTCTTGTTTGGTTGTGTTTTTTTTTTTTTTTTTAAAATGTATTTCTACTGCAAATTCATTCCAAACTTCTAGTTACAAGGGTTTTTGGCATGAGGGATGCTGGGAAAGAAATGCAGCTTAAGGAGCTAAGATATTTTCTCTGGCAATCTAAACAAATGCTCTATTGAGAGTTTTGTATTTTCTGTGCCTTAAAATATTAATTCATATATTCCAATTTGGATGTTCTGTGTAATTTTACGTAAGTGGATAACAAGGGCATTTGGTACGTCATTTAACAGAAACACTGGAAATGCCATTTGGAATGAGCAACAATTCCTTTGGTCCACCATCTGGTATTTAATAGTAGCCTAACAGAAAAGATGGAAATTATGCTGGTCATTTTGATCCTGACTCACTGACTACTGAATCAACAGCGAAGAACCTTTTTAACTTTAGAAAGGTGTGAAATAATCCTATCTCATGAGGCAGTATCTTCAGATACCCTTTTGGAAATTGGTTAGTTTATTCAGTGAAGTTTAATCAGCATAGATATAGCACAATGTGAACACAGAATCAGAGTACTTCTGGACGAATTAGCCCTCCTGGAATACGGTAATACCATGAAGAGTTCTGCTGAACCCAGACTGGGATTGACAGCTCAGCACTGAATTGGAGCTAATAACCCTAAAGTTCCTTGTATATGTTTGGGTACACCGATACTGTGCACCTGATGCTACCTGGGGCTTCTTCAGGAAAGGTATCTATTACCCTGTAGAAAGGAGAGCTGACCATGTTTGTAAATGTATTTTGAAGTTAACAAGATGATAAAGGCTGTATGTTTGTCAATGTCTGGGAGGACAGAGAAGGATTAAAAGAGTAGAATATTTCTGTATAGGCCATTTTGATTCTAGAATGAAAGCTCAGATGTATAATTAGGCTTCCACAGCCTCTTCTTCATCTCCCAGAATACCTATCGTTTTTTTATACTCAGCATAGTTATGAACCCAAGCTACCAGCTTCAAAGTGGCAGAGATGTACTTCTCCAGATGGAGCTCTAAACACTGCCCATCATCAAAATATCCCACGCACCACAGAGACAATCAGAAATCAAAACAAAAATGAATTGCACTAAGTAATTTTTGCTATAGCTGAAAAAGAAAAAAAAATGTTATCTTGTAATTTTGGCCAATGTATTGATATTATGATTCAGGCAGCATAAAAAATTATATACTGTGGCATGTAATTGGTAGCTAACTGTGATATATGGATAGCTTTCCGATCATAATGTACAGTTCTCCCTTGTTCACGGGTGCTAAACAGAAATAAAAATTAAGAAATGATGTCTTCTGTTCCATATTTTCCTATACAAGTAATTTCTCCATTTGGAACTGAACAGTATACATCTCATTTGAGAGTGCATCTCAGTTCTCATCTTTCCCCAAAACAACCTAGAACGTGTGTCTCTTCATTTCTAATGACGTGGTGGTAGTAGCCCACATAGTACCTTCTCTGTGAATATTTTGTTCATGAACAGGATTAAGCAACCTTGCTAAGAAAAAGGTAAATGAAGAGAGAAGATGCTGATGCTTCTAAGTTACTTGTCCAAAGTCTATGTGAAGATATAAACACACACACAAAAACAAACAAACAAAAAAAAAACAGTTGTAACAACAACAAAAAATTAGTAAAATCAGTTGAAAGAGATGTTTTGGTATTCATGTTTAATGCTCACATTCCTAATGGAATGAAACTAACTATATTAAGAAAACAGTGACACTGATTTCCAGATTTCTTTAATTACATGTTCAATTGAAAATTATATAATCAACATAGCCAAAACTTTAGACCTAATACTATTGCTGTATATTGTAACACAGATTAACACTGCTGAAATAATGCAAACAATACATAGCAACATCTACTTTTTCTTTTTTTTTTTGTTTCTAAATTTACCTTGAAATCCTTGAGACCTATTTAATTTTTCTTCTGACAGTAACCTCTCTTATCCTCCAAAATTTTATCATCCTTCACCATTGTTTTATGTCCACCTTGTCTTTTATTCAATAATTGTTTAAAATGTAAACTGCTCCAATCACTGCAACAACTCTTCTCTTTTGCCTAAACCCTCTTCAAACCTCAGGCATGATTATATGATCTGTTAAGTTGGTATAGTGACGTTGTTTCCAGGTGTTTTATTTGTACCAACAGAATTCTCCATTTCTTAGTTGAAAATAGCTTCACAGAACAATGATGCATCGTAGAATGTAATACAAGAAGCTTCAGTTGGGCAGAAGGGAATGTAGGATATACCAAGGCTTTCAGACCACTTTAAAAAGTAGTCTGAGAGAAATCAGCACTTTTTTATTTGATGATAATTAACGTTTGAAGAAGCAAAAGTGTTACTCTAAGCAAAAGTAAAAACAAAATAAAACTGTTAAAACCCATACCTTTTAATCTTCTCCTCTTGCTTGTTTGCATGCTGCTTAAGTAAGATGTTCTCATCACGTAAGCGAAAAAATTTGTCTTCCAGCTCTTGTCGACTGATTCGTGATATAGCTTGTCGAGCTTTAACATTCTGTGTAGTTGATTCTACCCAAACCAAGAATAAGTTACCTTCAGTATATCCAACACCATGTAATCCAGTCTCTCATTTTGCAATACTGAATATTGAAAGTTCTCATGTAATGTGATGTTTGTATGTGTTTGCTACTTTTTTTTCAGATTTATTGGCATATTATTCACTTCCTTCTTCCTACCTCTTACAGATTAAAAAAAAGTAAATCAAATGATACTGCAAACTGATTACCTAGCTGACAACAAACAGAAAATAGTTTAGCAAAGAACAAAGTCAAACATACTGAAAAAATAAGATGACACACAAGGATAGTTTCTAATCTGTTTCACAGTAAACATACTCTTGAAACTTGAAAAGATTAACTCAGAATTCTGTAAATTCACTCAGATACAAGACCGAAATTAGTAATTCTATTCTAAAAGCAAGTTACTAGCATGTCAGAATGGCTTCCTATTTTTGGTTCCCATTTTGTTAAGTGGGTCTGGCCTTGTCCTCAATCAAATTTTCTTTTATTATTATTTATTTTTTTTTATTTTTTTTCCTCCTGGAAGGATTAAGGTTATAGCTGAATGAGATTTGCCGTTTTTAGCATCTTGCAGCATTGCCCCTCTCATAACAAGTAATGTGAACTCAGAATGGGTCATAGTATCTTTTACCTTTCAGAATTTAATCCAGATTTGCAATGTTATTTGAACTTAATTTTGTGAGTGTGAATGTCAGAAACATTTTTAGAAAGAACCTAAAGAAGCCACTGATCAAAGTCTGTAACTGTAATAAATAGCAGCTGGTACAAACCATGTAATCCTCCGATTCCAACTAGAGTTAGACCCACGTCTCTCACAGGCAGGTCCCCCACCGTTTCATCAGCTGGAACAGACATGGCTTATCTGTGGATAACAAAATTCATATAAAATTCCTCTCCATCTGTAACTTAAACTGTGAGACTAGAATGAACTACAATTACATCGTATAAAAGTAATGACAGATTCACTGAAATGATAGACTTGTACATTACTGTAAATGCTCCTTTCTCAATTGCTTGGCTCTGGGGACTATCTAAACTTTCAAGTTTAACATGATGTCAGATTTAATCTGTGCACAAAATATGGCTTCCTTTCTATTGTAATAACTCCTATTTTATTAAACGTTTGTAGAATTAGCTTTTTTTTTTAACTTCCTAGTTCCATTGTTTTCAGCAATCTTTGGGCTAAGCCCATATTTCTAAGCACGTGTGGGAGAGGAACCTGAGTGTCTTTTTTTTTTTTTCTTTCTTTGATCGTTTGCTTGTTTTAAGACAGGTCAAGGCTTAAGGCATCAACTGGTAGATTGTAATGCCACCTTCCACACTTTGAATGGTGCTCTTCGAAACAGAGGTGCTGGGGGTTACGAAGTCATTCCAGCATTACCTACTATTCTCTTAGTCTTCTTTCAATCATGGTCATATGAGAAATTACTTTCTAAGACAGAGACTCTCCTATGAGCAATTCTCATAAATCTGAACTCATTTCTTTCTTGAGGCAATAGAAAGCTTAGCTACACGACAAAGAGAGATTAGGAAAGTATTAATGTGAGAAAGCAGCACATAAGTTTCAGTGTAATATATGAAGATACTTGTTAACAACTACTGCTTCTCCTTTACCAGTGCAGAAAATTGTATGTTGGCCATAAAGTCAATTAAGGCTGGAATAGCATTAAACAAGTTCTTTGGACAGTATTTTTTTTCTCCTCCTCCTCCTGTTACACTTTCTTTAGCTGAAGTAAAATCTGTAATAAATACAGAAATGTCTGGATTTGGGGAAATGACCGTGTACAGCAGCGACGCTATTAAATACCCGCATTACAGAAGTGACACAGTCTAATCCACAGACATTCCAGGAAGTATCTGTTAATTCTGTCACAACCAAAACTGCCTTTCTTCTGCCAATAAAGTCTTCTATCGCCAACAAGTCTCCTCATGACTTTGTCCAAAAAGAAGGAAAAGGATTAGTGAAAGGGTAGTTTTCAACGAACCTTTAAAGCACAAATATTATAACTGTCTTAGTGAAAAAGAGTGATTTTAGACAGACATAGTACCAACCTGCATCCTGGTTTTAGGGAGGCAAAACATAATTCCACTTTGACATTTGTTTCATTAGTAACATCAGAAGAACCTATGTACCTAATAATTGCTAACAACCACCCTTTATGTTTTTTCTCTGAGGATACTTCAAACAGCAAATCACCTGTTACACGTTACAGTTCTTTAATATTAACTCAGCCTCAATCACAAACACTTAAAGTTATTTTCCTTGCAGCCAATGGCTCCAGCCTTATTTTCAAAAGCATTAGAGATTTCTCCACAGAGTTCCAAATTATTTCTGGTAAAGCACTTCCCAAGTGATTAAATCTGAGAAAAATATACAGCAACATAGCTACAGAAGTGATGATACTTAAAAGTCTGGTGTTCCCTAAAATGAAGCATAAGAAAGCAAGAAAGATTTAAAAAAATATATATCTGTAAATGGACAGATCCACGTGCCACGCTGAACCTCAACAACTTAAACCAGCTTATTTGCAAGACTGGTTACCTTGAGGTCACTTCAGCACTTCTTGTTCCCAGCACCAACACAGTGCCAAATAACTTCACACACAAATAGAAAAATTTCCTCCATATCTCTGGGTTTAACCTATGAGAATTTAAAGTTGGGCCTAAGTAAAAATTTTAGGTGTAGTACTAGGAATTACAGAAACAGTAACTTTCTTATACACTGCATGAGCTACAAGGCTGGTGCTGTTGTCACTTGTATCTGACAAACTGCTGTAAAAAACCGCATGCAAGTCTGCAGCGTTAGGCACGAGCAGACAGTAATGAGCGTGGATACCTGAAGTAGTAAAGCTGATGCTTTAGGCCCAAATTCTTACAAAACTCCCCAAAGCTCTCCCAATATCGTTCCCACATAGCAAACCTGAGGGGAGATTACTTCAGTTCCCACAAGTTCTCCTAGCAGGGCTAAGAGGGGGACTTCCTAGTGAAGCCACTAACACAAAAACCTTTAATTAATTCTCTCAACGTGCATTTAGAAGTTCATGAGGCTTGGCCGTGGCTACGACGATGCTTTTCTCACAGCATCACACTCCACCTCTCCAGCAAAAAAAAAAAAAGGAAAAAAAAAAAGGAAGCCCACCCACCGATCTTAGCCTATCACAAAGTATTTCCAGCCCACGTTCCTCCTCTGTTGACTCCTTCGAGATAACCGTTTGCGCTCTGTCAGGCTTGTCACCTCACATAACCTCACACACACACACACACGATTTCAGGGGTCACCTGCAGCACGGAGAGCTTCTGAGGTGGAAAGGAGGCGCTACGAGCCCAGGGCATCAGGTCTGGGAGGAAAAATCCGTCAGGTTTCCCTGTGAGTCTGTCAGGACCCCGAAATAACGGGGCCTCGGAGCGCTCCCCTCAGGGAGCTCAGGCGGGGCTCCTCCCCCAGAGCCCACCCCTCGCTTTGATTTTTCCCCACACAGCCCACGGGAGGGCTGCGGGGCTGTTTAAGGACAGACAAACGGACAGACGGACAGACAGCCACGGGCGGCGCCCGGAGAGCGCAGCCCCTCAGTGCCCCCCCCCCGCCCCGTACTCACGGCTCCCGCCCGCCCTCCTCCTCCTCGCCGCCCGCCGTTAGCAACTGCGGCCGTTGCTACCCGAGCCGCGGCCCTTCCGGCCGCCACCGCCCCCCGCTCCGCGTTGCCTGCTGGGAGCTGTAGTTCGGCCGGGGGCGCGGAGCCGCGCGGAGCCGTTCGGCCGGGACTACAGCGCGGGGGGCGCTGGGAGCTGTAGTCCGCCGGGGGGGGGGGCGGGAGGAGGCCGGGCAGGCGGCTGAGGCGGCGCCATGAAGCGGAGAGCGGGGGAGCGGGAGAAGGAGCTGAAGGTACCTTCCCGAGCTACCCCCCAGTCAGGGGGGAGGCGGGCACGGCCTCGCAGCCGCCCCCGGTCAGGGCCTGGGGGCTGTGGCGGTGGGCCGGGTTGGTGGGGGGGGTGCTGGGGCTGTGGGGGCTGCGCCTCAGGGCCCCGGGCGCTTCCCAGCCTCGTGTGGGCGCTGGGAGCCGCGCAGTGCCCGGGGCAGGGGCAGGTGAGCGGGGCCGGGCTCCAGGGGGAGCCTCCCCTCACTGCAGCTCGCTCACGTGCCGCACCCGCTGTTCTTGGTGCTGCTGCGAACCAAATTCTGCTACAAGGCGTTATTCCGCTACAGGGGCAGGTCAGCGGCGTGGCAGAGCGGTTTGTATCGATGGGCACGAGAAGCATGAGGCCAGCTCGTGGTGCCAGCGCTCAGTGCAGCGCTGTAAGGACACCCTGACCACGTTCCCTTCGCTCTTTCAGCTTTTCCTCTTTGCTGAAGGACAGCAGCCCTGCACCATCACTGTGTGCTGTCATCTGAACACACACGTGGGTGTGAGCTGTCCCATCCAAGCCAATGCAATTCCATTGCACATAAGAGGCACTTAAAAAAAAAAAAGTCTGTACGTTTACTCTGTGCAAGGCCTGAATTCAACTTTCGCACCACAATATATCTTAAATGTATCTGGGAATCATTAGGAGAGAATAATTGCTAGTGGTACGATGGGATATATATATATATATGGGTATTTAAGGTTGTAGGAAGTAAGAGGATGGAATTGAACCTGCCCTGCCCAAGGTTGTGGAGGATGAGCTGTGTGAGCAGGTACCAGGGGATCGATGTGTAAGGCAGGGGGGGAAGCCAAGCAAAAGAGTAGACCTACTTAGGTATTGTAGGTGCACACCTGAGAAGGGTGAAAGTTAAAGAGATCCTTCAGGACCATGAAGGTGTGAGTACTTAGAGGCTGGGTACTACTTGACATAGGTTTGGAGTATACTGATAGGGCAACAGAAGGAGCCTGCAGAGTGTCTGAGAATGAGGGATACGGAAGAAGAAAGCAGTGATACGAAGACGAGGCGTTACACAAAAAATAAGTGTACCCTTTCTCTTCAGGAGATCGTCCTCATGTTACACTAATATGAACTGACCTTATTTTATGCAACTTAATTACAGGTGTAATCCTTGGGATGCTGGCACTAAGCTAGCTCACCCTTCGGTCCCTGAGTTTAAACCTTGCTCGCTAATGCAGCACACCTCAGAAACACAGACGGTGCAGGAAGCGCGTCCTTATTGTGGTAGCTGTGCCAGGAGATCCATTTAGGTCTGGATCAAAATATTTCATAGCAAACCAAATACTAGTGAGGTTAACCCGACCTCTTCTGGAAAGTAGGATTTATGAGGCCTACTAATGAGGGGGAAGTGGTTGGATGGAGAGGCTGGTTTGGATTATGCATCTCCTGGCAATGTCTCTGCTCTGGAGAATGAAATCCTGAATAAAAGTTTGTGTTTTGCCATACTTGTGTACAGTTAAACGCTGTTGATCCAAAGCCTGGTGATGGGCTTTAGCTTTGTAATTATGCAGTATGTTTCTTGTGTAGGGTAAGCTGTTCTCTCTCTCAAACATTCATGCGTATAACAAGTTTTGATTTATGTTGTTGTAGAAGAATAACATTTCTGTTCCAAGGATGTGTGGTAGAATTTCCTCAGTGCGCCGTGCTGTTAGACAGCAATTTCCACATTGCAAATCACTCGATTGGATTGAGAGAGATTGAGCGTCCAGCAGAAATGAAACTGTCCGTGCTAATATCTGGTGTTCTTAGCCTGTGAGCGCTCCTTCCTGTAGCGGGAGGACACAAATTCATTACTGCGAAGCAAATCTGAAACAAGCTGGGGAATCATAGCCAGAAGTTAATTACACAAATGTCTTAAACACCATGATGGGGATGCTAGTTTCCTGTGGAATATGCCTCTGAGACTTAGGTGGATTGCAGAACATAATTAATCTTAAATTTTAAAGACATCTTTAGAGATGTTTCGTGCTGTCTTCTGTTCTAGCCTTCCTCATAGCAAATTCTAATTCTGTGCATAAAAACCGAGCTGTTGGACCAGGTGTTACTCATTAACAGCAGACATTTTAACTGAACTGTCCACCCCATGAGTGTGTGTTTTGGTTTTGTTTACCTAAAATTCTGTTCTAATTAGTTAAGTCATAATTATTTTTCTTCTTTGGACTGATGGTTTGAGTTATAGTCAGTTTACAGTAAACTTTTACTTCTGCTGGGCACCACATAAAATAAAAGCAAATGTAAGCCTATTAACTGGTAGTCTACTTGGAATATTTTTTTCCTCTTAAACTGGAAGGAAAAGCTGCTTTGCTATTAGGCTGGTGTCTTGATTAGTTCATCTGTAACACACGCCTGTTCTCAAGACTTAATTTATCAAAAGTGTTTGCAGTCAGTCTCGGTGTGACAGATGCCTAGTTGTAGCAAGTACATTTATATTCTTCCTCTTGCCACTATTTGCCTATTAAGACCCTTTGACGTTGCCATATGAAAGACGGGATGCTCAGCTAGTCTGGAGTATTATTTTCTTTTACTTGAAAAAGATTACATTGACGGGGCTGTGGAATAGACTGCTAAGCCCAGTTCACAATTACCTTTTGTAGCTGTTTATGCTAATTCACATTACTGCGAAGCCAGAACCAGCTACAGAGAATTTATTCCGCAGACATTACTGTTAAATTTGTACAGCTCCCAGTGCAGCTGGGACCCCGATCCAATAAAGTTATTGCTATACAAATAATAAATGCATCAATATGCACATATCTGAATATTCACAAGGGCTTTTACAAAGATATTCATGTGCAATTTCACATTTGTGAGACGTTAGACAAAGTGGCAAGGCAATATAAAGCTTTAAATAACTCCAAGCTTTGTGTGTGTTTTATTTACGAGGAGTAGAAGGGAACATAGTGGTTTGGCTGGGATTTCGATGAAAAGTCATGTTTCCTGCATCATCCTTATTTTTGCTGGCTGGAAAATACTGTATGTTTGAGATGAAATAGGTTGCTTCAGCATATTAATGCTGAGGGGGAAAAATAGGCAAGTAATCTCAGAGCACTTACGAGATTTTAGGATTAATGGTGAAACGTTACCCGGGCCACGCAACAAAGTATATCAACTCGGTCGCATCAGAGTTTGTGCAAATATTACATTAATTTCTTGTTTCCTGTTATTGTTCTGCCTCTTAAGATATAAAAACATTAATTTTTCTAATTGACAGCTTAAATAGATTCTTTCAGAAGTTGTATTTAGGCAAATTAAAGTTAATGAAACAGCTTAGCTGCAGCTAAATAAGCCTGTTGTCATGTCATATTTCTGCGTAGGTAGATGGCGGGCAGCTTTTAGCAGAATCAGCAGCCAATATGCCAGCAGCAAGTTTTGTGGTAATCACATTATTGGCCCGTCTCGTTATTAATGAGACAATAATTAAGAAATAGTGTTGATAGTAACATAACACACGATTTGTGTGTTGGAAGTGGTCAGCTAGAAGCCTTGCATATGCAGTACAAAATAGAAGGAAGAATGAGTGGCCAGTGTTCCCCGCTTTTAAACTCATCGCGTTGCTGCTGCTGCTTAAATTGCCTCAGCTGCTAATGCTGGGACCATTACAGTAATGGACTCAGCAAATGAAGGAGAACCAAGACATACACACTTTATTACTGGAGGGGTAATTTTCTCTTCATCTGTAATAGCAGCAGTGCCTGGTATTGATCAGACCATCAAGATACTAATCCTCTGTAAAATTACTTGTTATAACTGAAAATGTGTTAATCCAAATCAGTCTGTGTCCCGACTTTCTACTTACTATTGAATACAGACTATTAGATGGTTTATTTTTTGTGATTTAAGGCCTTTATATCGATAACAGTAGGAGCTTCCTTTGGAAGAGTGGGTGCTTAATCTTAGCTATGGCCCAGGGTTGTCTTTTTGTTTTAACCACAACATCACCCACTTAATTAAGAAGCGCGTCTCCGTCTTGGTGCGCTGAATTATACTGGTGCTTCAGACCCCCCAGATTTATTAAACACCTTGTTTTACGTTCAGTCTCTTGTTTTTTGCAGTAAATAAGAACAGATCTATGTTTCATGTGTTAGAGTCTTCTAGTGTCTTGGAGCCAAGGATGCAAGGAGCGTGGGTACAGAAAACACGATTTGGTGTTTCATTGCTTAGGGCTGCAACGCTCCTGCGGATGGGAGTAATGTCAGAGGAGCCCTACGGCAAGGGACTGCAGGTCTTCAGTTGGCCTGGCTCCTCATCATCTACAACGCGGTGGCGTAGAAGCTGTTCTTAGGTTTGCCGTATTAGAATACGCACTCTGGGGCTGGCTTTGTGTTTTTTTATTATTTTTTGTATTTTTTCCTATATTTGTTTGTAGACTTGTATGCTAAGTAAGACTCTAAGCATATGTCTGTCACCTGTACGGCCTCTAGCCAAGTGACACCTGCGTTTTTGGCTTGGTTGTATGGCACAGGCGTAATGGCTGCTACAGCAGTACCTCATAGGACATGGCTGTAGGAAGTAGCTCCATTAACCCTGAGCTTGCATTAGACTTATTTTAATTTAAAACAGCTCCTACCCCATCCCAGCCACTGGTAGCTTGGCAGCTTGTGGGAGGAGTTCCTGGTGGTTCTAGAAGCAGGACAAGATGCAGAACTGCTTCATTTGCTTAAAGAAGCCAAGTCCATGCATTTTATGAATTGGTGATTGTAGTATCAAGTTGGTATTTGCTCTGGCAAAACCAACAGTATGGGTGTTTTTTGTTGTTTGTTTGTTTGGCTAATTACCACTCTCCTTTCTATTTTTGTCTTAATTGATTCAACTTCTCTCACTTAGGGTGTTTTCACATTTTTGAGAAGAGACAAGTATTTTTCTGGGTAGTCCTTCTCAGCGTGAGATTTAAATTTTTATTTTGCAACTTTATAGACACTCTGATTGAGTGAGCTCTGATTGCCTGCCAGCAAATGGAAAATA